CGTATATTCTGCGAGATTTTGATTTAGCCTCAATTTTATATTTTGAATATATTTTGAAAGTAATTCAAGATCCAATAATAGTAAATATTTGGAAAGCTTTATTCAATTTTCCGAATTTTCAATATTTCTGTGCAATTAATTTTTTTATTCTTCTCTCTTTCTTCTTATTCCTTTTTGGCTTTATGCCTTCATAGAGGGACAAGTGGCAGGAAGTCATTTGTTACTATCGGGCTTCTGTTCGAATATTTCTATTTTCATGTATCTGAATAAGTATTTAGCATTCTATAAAAAGAGAAACTATGTTCTCAGCGCCCTTGGTCCATTGTTGAACGTAACTGTCATAGGTGTTTTCGGAAATGAACCATATTGTAAAAGTTTGCAATCCGGCCAAAAGAAGATCGAATTTTACTAGTTATTTGAAGATGCTTGAGAATGTAATGTTAGGTGGTGCCAAATGCAATCTCCCTACTTATCTCTGGCTCACCACTATCGTCTTAAGATTTATTTCACAACTTTCTGCGTGTGCTGCTAACAATCGCCGTGTCTCTTTTTTCATTAATGTATCTGAGAAGGATCCAATATTGTTTGCACCTGTTACAATGAGCTGTAATCACGTCAGTCATATTAGACGGAAGAACTCGGAAAACCAGTCTCCCTGGGGTATGTTCAGAAACCTTTTTTTAGAGTCGACTGAGAACTTCTATCATTTCCGGTCTCATTGTGAGGGTTGTTTTGGGACCAGCGGTGAGTAGCGGAGAACCTCTGCCCGCAAGCTACATGTTCGTGTTCACGTTTAGCTCGGCTACGACGGGATTCGCTTTGTCGACGGAGGCGATGATCACAAAATCCTACTTTCAGACTCGTCGCTACAATTTAGCGCCATGATTTTGGAATCGCCTAAAACCGTAGAGTTGTGCATCTTTCTACTGATCTCTGATTTCTACACCACCTACAATATGTGGTAAAAATTAGTATCAACTTCGAAAAAGTTCGAGGAATTTCTAAGAGACGGAGCTGTATTAAATTTTGAAAATGTTCTTATTGGGTTAATTTTTGTGTTTATTATAAATCTGCATAATGACGATAGATTTGGAAGAGTATAAACGTCGTGTAGTTGAAATTAAAAGACAGGCGTATGAAAATGATATTAATGAAATTGAAGTGGAAAAGATATTCGATGAAGTCTTTGAAATGTTGGAGGCTAGACAAGCAAGCAAATCATGTAATCTAATTATGATGATCAAGTCTCTAATATTCCTCGTTTTTGCCCTGATTTTGGGTATGATCAGCCTCTATAATCATCCGTCCACGCATAATATACTCCTACGAAATTTACAAAATTTTATTTATCCCGGGATGAAAGTTTTTCGTAAACTGGCCGTACCAATAATTAGTAATTATCCTTCATTAACAGAATTTTACGACGAATGGTGCTTAGTTGAAAATTCATTATTTCGCGTAGCGGAAATGGATTGCTGGCCTTGTGATTCAATACGTTCTGTGCCGGACTTAACTGGTCATAATATTACAGCTTCCTTTAATCCCGGGATTCCTTACACTCGCATAGAAAATGGTAACATTGTAAATTTAAAAGAGCTTTTTAAATTATATAAAAATAATAAGGCTATTTTCGATAGAGATGCTAGTAGAGTTTTAACAAACAATGATTCATTCAGGTATTTTATAGATTTCATTGATTCGTTGTTACTATTAATGACATACTAACTTTGTTTTGCATTACAGAACTATTGAAGAAGTGCTTACGGCAAGAAACGATCTTTATCCAAGCAAGTACAAGGATGTTCATGTAACATGGAGAATAAATAGAATGACACCTGGAAGAATAATAAGAAAGCTGTTTCCTAAACCAGTTGAAACTCCAGACTGGTGGAGTCAAAGCATGGAGAAGTTTGTTTTTATAGACGAACCAAGATCTCCTGCATACACATTGGTCAGTTAATTTCCAATTATAATTCTTATGGCATAAACAGTTATAATAAATTGTTCTCTGCTACAGCCAAACCCAGAATGCAGTAACATCTTTATGAGGTGCACTAATGGAGCACGATTACTACATATGATACCTAGTCCAGAATGCATCCAACAGTGTAAACCATCTACTATAATATTGCCAGCGCACCATACATGTAAGTTAAAATTATAAAGATTGAATGCTGTAATACTATTATCAAAGTTAATTATTAAAACTTATATTTTTAGTATGGTACAATTGGTGGTATTGGCGACCCGTAAGTCTTCCAGCAACAAATTCCACTGAGATTTCTATAAACTATCTCACATCATTTTGTTAATTTTTTATATTATACATAATTTACTAAATCATACCAAAGACTGATAAATGAAAACGATTAATGCTAATATCTCTAAAGTATTGGTCAATCTGCATGTCCTTAAATATTTGGAAAAGTACTTAATGCGTCTGGTAGTACTAAACTTGTGTTTTTACTTTGAAATCAAGATTCACAGAAAAAAAGGTTATACAAGCAAGTTATGTCGCGTGATATTTTATTAACACGCAAATATATTATTCTATAGTCATATACAAGCGTGGCTGCACGCAGCGCATCGAACTGTTCATATTATTTACAATTAATGTCTCTCCCATAAAGGGGGACAGTGTTTCCTAAATATTTACCGTGAAGGAACACAATGTAGCGATAATAAAGTTTTAGGCTATACCGTTACGGAGTAATAGTTACCTAAGATCACACGGAAACGCAAGGTAATATAATACATCCTATTGTCTACAGTAGGCGATTTGAATTTAAATTTTGAGCACCGACTCACGTCCAGCCCTTGTCGTGCGCGTTGAGGAAATATAAATAAATATCGCTACGAAATAAATAACTTCTTGCCATCGTTGAATTTACTATGTTTTCCTGTTCGCGGGAATGTTATATTAATTAATTGGAGTACGATTCAATCGAACTTTTGCCTAAATGTCTGTTTAAAGATTACAGGAACTAAGGAAAGTAGTGCAAAGACACACAGTATTATCATACTATTCCAGGACCAGGCGTCACGCGAGGACGTCAGCTTGTGCAATGTTTGTCCAGCTTGAATGGCTACGAAGGATGGTGGTGCTACACCAAAAAATGTTCCTACAGTGAATGGCACCATTGGCACCCCTATCACAGGACTCGCCAAGTTTATAAACCAATTAGGCAGTAACGGTGTCATTCTCAGGAATAACATGTAATTCAAGAGGTGATCCCGATGCTTAGTTACCGTTATTGCCCACTCGTTAGCTTTCTCAGGAAAATATTTGTACAATAACTTTCTTCCAAGTATAGAGGAAAGAAGGTAGCACAGCGTAGCTCCAATAGCACTGCACATGCAGACCAACAACAGGGCGATAGGAAATGGAAAGAGGAATCCTGATAATATGGAAAGAAAAATGGATCCTGGTATTGCAAACGTTTGTAAACTAAAAAAGTATTTAAGGAATTATAACGTTGTGACTTAACAGTTGCTTCAAATTTTAAATATTAAATAATAATGAAAAAGGATACAATATATATGTGATGAACAGTCCTGTAAGAACTTCAAAGTAATACAGTTCTTTGTATCTATCCAGCAGTTTTCCAAGATTTTTGGCATCATCTATGTCCAATGGTAGTTTCATGTGCTGTTTCTCATTTCTGCAAGTTAACATCATTATTAATCTGCTTATAATGAAATAATATTAACTACTTTTGTTAGACAATTACTCTGCCAGTTCTGGAAAGCTTGTGTAAACATAGCAGAGCACAGCCAACGAAGTTAGGAAAATTAATCCAACAGTCAGGATAGCTTTCCTAGTAGATGTCTCCTCCAAAGTTCCATTTGCTGTAAATTTTAATATGAATTTTTAAGTAATCTATTAATGTTTATATTCGTTGCCAATCTTATCCATTACACAACAAATATATAAATCAGAAATTTAAACACACGAATAAATGATATATATATTAGACTGTGATAACAAGTTAATAATGATTACAAAGTTTAATCATAACATCACCTTGAAACTATAAAATCCTATCATACAATATAACGGTTAGGTGACAGTACCAAAAGCAAAAGTCATTCCACAGAAATTTGACTAACTAAAAAAATCTTGACAGGCGATTCATAAGCTATTTTATGTAACATCCGAGCATCAGGCGTTAATTACACGTGTCACAAGCATCTAATAACAATTAAAAAATGAAACATGCAAATTAAATAACCATAAAGCCACCCACAATAAATATAACTAAATATTTCCAAAACCAAAGAAAAATATTCTTTATCTTTTCCTTACCCATATTTGTACCAATTTTCGCACTCATATTCGTAAATTGGGGCAAAATAAAATTCCCAAAATAATACTGCTTGCGAGTTGAATCCTCCGCAACGTCAATCCGAATGAACGTCGCCTCTTCATTGCATTGAACAGTAATGATGGCGCCACCTCCATTTAGCGCGCGAACCATAGTGGAAGACATCAGGTATATAACAAGAAAAATAATTCTCTTTCCAAGTTTTAATTATCAAAGGACCATTCAGAAATTCATTAATCAGATTTTATTAATTCTGCAGTCTAATCACGCGTCATGTAAGAAAGGAATGATCCTATGAATCATGAATAAACTACTGTCATTCAAAGTAAGCAACAGTTTTATGTTCTGTTGACATGACCTATGAACCGGCTCTATCAATTGGCACAAATAAGTAGTAACAGATAGATAAAATCGAGATATTTCTTATAGAATATAACGCTAGTTTAGTTTACTCTAGACAGTACAGTTAATATGAGTTCTCTAACATAAATTGTAGTCACTATATGAAACAGTAAAAGTTGTTATGCATCCATCAAAGGCATTTGGTGGTTCAACTGGTGGACACAAAAAAACGAATCTTAGGCATCTGACAATTGAACAGAGAATAGTGACGTGTATCATTGGTCGTTTCGATGAATTAAAATTGTGTTAGACGCGCTTAAGCGAACGCCAGAACCGAGGGAGTTATCGTTAAAGACCAATTGCTGCTAATTGTTTGAATTAATCCCAATTAGTGAGGACACCAGACTATAGAAAAGTTTTCTTTTGTTATTAGTAAGAGAGCATCTTATAATAATTCTCATCCATAGCGACGATTTGACTATTTCCACTCGAACAAGAATAATTATTGTCCAAATACATATAGTTAAAAACGGTATATTCCTCACAAAAAATATGATAAAATCTTGTAAAGATTCCTAAATTTACACTTCTTTTTCACAAGGCATTAGACTTTTTGTTGGCGTCATTTTTATGAGCGTCAATTAAAGCAGCACTTGTTCTCATTAACGCGGAGCAGCTACTCTGTCTCTACAACAAGTTATAATGATTATAATGACTCCAAATGGGACGTTACTTTTCTTCTTATTTCACAGCATCTGAATGGTGACTTCTTTAAAATATTGGCAATGTTCTAATAACGTTCTTTGGAACAATATTCAATGGAGGATATCTTTGGAAAAAAGGGCGTGTAGCTTTTCCTGTTTTTATTGGCTGTAGCAGCTTCCGTCCTGTGGGCTGCGATATATTTCGGGCGGCCAACCAGTTTTTTGATCGGAATTATGAAGAATATTTGGTCTATTTCGGTACTTCCTTTCCTTTCCTCTGCTCTTCGGCAGAGAGTAGCACGTATGTACACAGCGAGTAGACTCATACAGATCCACTTACAGGCTCGTAGATACAGAGCAGTTAAATTTTTAGATTCTGTAAGAATTTTCTAACATCCACAGGCCACCTCTAAAAGAACAATATATACAAAATTTAATAAATCTTATATTCCATCTAATGATTGTCCACAGAAACCATACCATCCAATAGACAATTCCAGTTTAAGAACCAGTTACTGCACCTTGGATTTATCTGTTCATTACAAAAATCTTATAAGGAATCCTGCCTGAAATCAAAGAAACATGAATTCTAGTTATATAGGTACAGTATCGGTAACAGTAATACCAGGTATAATATAAAAGTGAACAGGGCGCTGCTACAGGCAGCGACGGCGCTGAAGAATGGGGAGGGAGGAAAAGAATATAGACGAAATCTAGAGGGAAGAGAGGAGGAGCAGCAAGAGAGAGAGAGAGAGAGAGAGAGAGAGGAATAGAGAGCGTAACGACAAGAGAAGGGAATGGATGCTGCCAGTGGAAACCAAGACCAACAACCCACCGTGCAACGACAGACCAACTCCAGATGCTGGGTGCGACTTATGTATGGAGCAAAATCTCAGAATACTTTGGGATATCCTGCCTGGTAATGCCTGGAAGTCGAATGCCTCGGAACGGTCCAAACAGGAAGTGGGAACAAATCCTGCGTGACATTTCCACCACGTTACCGTCCCAAGAGATGAATGTTCGCTCGCATTCCAAACTGCCAAGCGACGTACACATTACTCTCTTACTCTCCTCCTTTTCTCCTTTCTCCATCAAGACATTACTACAGTTATAGACCTAAGGTTCAAAAGGTTGATTCTTTACCAATAGACAGAGTCTAACAAACGCAATGCTTCTAGTTTCTCTTAGAGATTAGAGATAAAATACAGGTACGACATTACTCTAGGTAGGGAATGAAATATGGGAAAGAAGAGTAAAACGTAGAGAAAAAGAGAAAGAGGTATAGACCTGTTGAGTCTCTATATCGCTACCCTGGGCAAGGCACTCTGTACAGGGCTCTCGGTCTTCCTGAGGTTCCACTCCACTCCAATCCTCACATGTTCAGCCCCCTCTATGCCGACTATGTTTCTGTTAGCCAGTCAGTCTCCCTCGACTCGCTACCAAGCCTCTCTGACTCGAGTCGCGGTTAGTTGTGGGCGGAAATTAGTAGAACCCGTCGAACTAGTCGCGTTGCGGCCGCGCCGAAGTACACTGTCGACCCTCCGTCTTCCTGGATGGCTACAAACGTTATTCCTTTAGCAAATCTCAGTTGGTCCTTGTGATTTTCGACATATTTCTCATCATCTTATAACTACACTACGTCTCGCGACACACGTCGGGATTAAATTGTAAAATACAAGCTACAGGTTATCTATACCCACTGACTCTTTATACTGGCCCCTTCTCTCTTTCTCTGTGGTGATCGATCAATCAGGATCGATCGGTGAAAAATTGGGTGATTCGCAAATTGTGCGCCGTTCGAGAACTGTTTTGGATATCATCCCGGTTACATCATGACAGGCCTAGCACCACCGAAGGCAGCGTGCGTATATTAAAATACTTATAGATGAGTTTGGATTCTGTGGTGCGCGTTCGCGCCGTTTCTCTCTCTCTCTCTCTCTCTCTCTCTTACATAGTATAGACTTATTCTCTCCCGCTTAGGCATTCTATGTTTATTGAAATCTCGTGTTATAAATCGTGGAGGGGTTTTGGAGGGGTGAAGCGAAAGAGGAATAATTCTTGGTAGAAACGTAAATTCCACTAACCGTAGAAAAGAAGAGAACCCACGAGCTCTTACGATCATTTGAAATTCGATCAATTGGCAATTCTATTGAATAACTATTCTCTTCCTTCCTCTCTGTACTATTAAACCATGCATAATTCCCATGCATCAATGATTCCGCGCGTACACGTTAACCAAATGAAACGAGAGGATTGCATTCCGATTGCGAATGAAGTGTAGATGACATAGAGGCTCCCGCACCGTGGGTCTATTACGTATGAGCAGGATGCCACCGAGAAGTATGACATGTGCGCTCAGGCAATTTTAAGTAGCCGAGGAGAAACCTACAGCAACTCCATAAATAGTCAGCCGACATATTATTTAAGGGCCCCTTAGTATAGATACAATTCATAGACTAAAAAGACACTACGCGCCAAGCTAATGTTAATAATTTCTAGTAATTTAAAATTACTTTTTTCGAGTCGCTATAATCTCATTCATTCATTAAGTAATGTCGTACACCATTCGCTCATCCTGTACGCTCACCGACCCGTAGATTAAACCGCTTCTAAACGGATAGACATACGTTTGTCAAATACATATTAACATATGCAGAGGACGCAGAAGCAAATTCTATACCTGGTAGGAGGATCACTCTTGAGCGGTGACGTAGCTCGATCGCGACCCAACTGCGGATGTAATTAGTTTTCAAAACAGCCGGAAGTAGAAACGGTTCGGTCAGTTTTCCTCCTTTATACGGTCGAATCAAGTTTCTGACATTGGTCTTACGTTTAGGGCACGCCGTTAGCCATGCAGATATAGATATTCGTGCGAGCATTCCGTTTATATTTTACTATTTGCTATGCGTAGGTGATGCCGAGGGAACCTTATCCCGGGTTACTAGGTGTGACCCTGGTGCTGTTTGGCAGTCTCTCTTCTACCGCGTGGTCCACAACCGATGGACAGACTCTAATCTGCGAGCCGAGTTTGGAATTCTGGTCGACGGATAATGCACGATGCATGCCATGTACAAAATGTGCACCGGAATTCACTCTCAGTCCCTGTGCGGTGCACAAGGATGCGATATGCGGTCCACTTTCGGCACTGGAGCTGGACTGGTCCTTCCTTACGTCGAGGAAGAGACCAGAGAGTGGCAGAAGGATCGACGCGGTCACCTCGAAGATGGTCTGGAGATTCCCAGAGATAGAAGAGCAGTTGCGGGTTGCCGAGGAGACCAAGGATCTCGAAGGATTGACGGCTGAGGATAGCGGAGAGGAGTTCATCGAGGAGTTCGCATCTGCGGAGAATAAAGTAATTAATAACTGATAAGAAATTCATTAGACCAATTTTACCCAATATTATTTCCAAGCTTCTGAATCAATCTAACGTAGATTTTTTTCTTATTTTTTTTTCTGTAACCCATAGAGAGTTCACGAGAGACGAAGATCGAGTGGGGAATCCAATATACCCTGGGATTGGCAAACAGGAGCCTTGGTACTGGCGGTATGCGCATGCATAGTTTTCTTCCTGGTAGCTGGATGTTCGGCATTAATATACGCAAGACAATGGAGACGGATGAAGAGAAACTTTGAGCCAGGTAGACAGATAGATATCCTCTAGTAAGGTACCAGGGGGTGGTAAAGGCCGTCCCCCCTGGTGTCTCTTTGTTGTAACGTGAAAAAGGGGGATATCGTAGTAACCATAGGTAAAAAAGAGTGAGAAGAGACGGTGCCTTTAGGGATAGATAATACATCGCTCGGCAAACCGAAGCCAAAGGGTCCGCTGCATCGCGGCTCGCGCGACACGGCAGTCCTTTAAAATGCAAGACGGGATTTTCTTCATTAGAGGGCTGATCACGGTCTCTCCTCACCTTGACTCGACCTACCGCGCCCGGATATGACGTCTCACGTCCAACTGCTGTACCATCTATACTACCTGTACCTCCTCTTCGTTCTTCCTTCCTATTTCGTTCTCCTATAGCTATTCACCCCGTGACTTCCAGTTCTATTCCGCGTCTACACCCTTTACCAATTCTATTCAGTCTCCATAACGTCTACTTATTCAGATGCTCTGAGTATCTACTAATTTTTTTTAATCCATTATTCAGAATCTAAGTACCTCTATCCCTGGTTACGATATCCAGCAGATTACTACTTTAGTACCAATAATATATCTAACCGATAAGAATAGTGCTCCAGTCCAAGAGATCGTCCATTGCAAACTCGCACAGTCGCTTGCGTAAAGGATGCAAATGTGCATACGTGCGTGGGATAGTAGTAGCAGAGAAAGACAGAGAAAGAGCTCGGCAGAGAGACTGTTGTAGAGGATCGGTACTACGAATGCTAAGGCAAGAGGAAAATATATCCCGGTGTGGGTAGTCAGTGAATAAACGAGGCAGCAAAACAGAGTAGCGTATCGTTCTTACGAGTTACGTTGCACGTGTGTACAACGCTACTATCCTCCATTTGCATAACGAGCATTACGCAGAACTCCAGCTCGCCGGAACGTTCACCCACCTATACCAAGTATCAAACCCGAGTCTGTGGGAACACAAGTATCTCCATGTACATCAAAGTGCATGTAACGTTCTATCGCGGGAATAATACCGAAGATCTCGCTCCCTGTTCCCCATCGACCCTTTGAAGAAGCCACGCCGAATTAGCAATGCACGAACCGTCGTTGAATTGACGTTCGATCGGGACCGGTTGCCATGTTGAATTCCACATCTTAGTAGACAGCCGGTTAGGGCTCGTACGTTTAAGCATATTCTTAAAAATAGTACGTTAACGGCTCCAATGCGTTACTTGCTATACGTCGCGTGGGATCGTATGGTCCCGTTTTCATTGTAACGTTAAAACCAACCTAAATCCCTGCATCTAAATTCTACATGCATTAGAATGTACAAGGTGATGCGCGCATGGGCCACAATATATGCCAAGCCGATTAAGGGATATCGTATCCATGTATAATATAACATGCGCCAAAGGCCTTGAGAAAGCTAAACCGTATCCCCACGATGCATTCCAGAGGCATTCCATGCTACGAACTCGATACCATCTTACTCCCATACCGGTCCCTCTTGATATAGAACCAGAATGAGAAACGATGTACCGTCATTTTCAGCCGGCTTGGAGGAGATCTCGGCGAGACTGAACCTCATGGTAAAAGCTGAACTGGCAGAGCTGACCGCCGGGACTTCGATGAGCAGCAGTGATCCAGAAACTCGATGCCAGTATCTTGAGAAGCTCTTGGGTAAATATATTTTCTTATCAGGACCTAGAGCAACAAGAATAACTTCGATAGAAAACTCGTTCGATTCGCAATAAGCTAACGCAATATGCACAACATCACCATAGATATACAGCTACGCAATATTCACGTATCGCATACAAAATGAGACTCTGGTGTAATATATGAAAGAGCGTATAGAGAATGAAGTAGGTATTACTGACTGGGATTCATTATGAGCAGTAAGGCGTACTACTCTAACCCATGTAATACATACCTCACTTTCTCTCTCTCTCTCTCTCTCTCTTTCACATACACACTATCACTTACCAGTCAACACTTCGAGTCTGCACTCCTTGGACTTTTCATTCACAGTTTGGTACTACCAAGCCATACAGTACTTGCCGTTTAGTGGTGGTGTGTCACGCCAGGCAATAAAGATTCGCGTTGCGTTCGATTGGCCGTTCACTTGCTTGCTTGCTCGACAGACCGGAAGAGAGAAACACCGATGGTGGCCGGTTGGCCAGACGAAGGGGGTAACCTGTACATTGAGGAAGGAGAAACACCGAGAACCAAGAGAGCTCAGATCGCCCAGATTCATCGCAACATCGAGAGTATCCTCAGTCACAAGAGCATTCGGGATTGAGGAATTAAGTCTTTATGCTATAAATATTATAGTATAAAGTCTCTCTCTCTCTCTCTAGCCATTTCCTTTGCAATTTACTGTCACTCGTTAAAATATTTCTTTCCAATTCTCAACTCCATTGCCGACCGGAGACGATCAGTCTCCTTTGAACGAATGGAGACCTACGCGGGGAACATCCGAGTGGTATCTTTAGATTCCAAGTGAGACGCGAACCCACGACGAGATAAACTATTTATTTCATATAGCTTTAACGAACCTTGTAATATACACGCTTTGTATTCATAATTAATAAAGTAAGGACGAATCCGAAGAGACGTGGTCATTCACGGAAATCACACCTTGTACTTTTTATATATTATATATATATACATACTCGTTATGTATTTAACTTGTACCCATTACACCGTAGTAACATCAACAATATTTTCCATTCTTACAATTAAATATATATTCTTGTTTTTTATATATAATATATATAATGGTATAATTTTATGTCGTAAAAATAAGTGGGCAGGGTGCACCTAAGGCCTAGGAGGTGGCATTCATCATATTTTCGCACTTCCTAGTCTTCGTTCTCGTCACATCTCTTACTTGTCCAACATCTTCCTCTCTCGCTCTCCCACGCATCATCATCATCATTCCCCTTTTTAAATCACTACTTTTTACGACTATTCTCTTTGTAAACGTAATCACAGTATAAGGCGCTTCTACCCGAATAGTAAGGCCGTGACAGGCATTTATACTATTATGGTATTTCATTCTACATCTCTATCTGTTCTCACGTGTTTTTCTTGGTAGCTGACAATTATTGACAATTGACAGTCTACGATTGAGAGACTAAATCGCGACCAGGAATTCATTCGGATGAAACTGAAAAAACGTGCATTTCGATACGTTTACTACCCCAGGCCACGTGTAATTACAATCAGGCACTTTACCGTACTTTTAGAACTAAGCGCAGAGTCGTGACTCCGGACAAAAATATGATGAACGCGTTGATTCGTTATATAAAAGGTATCTAAAAAGATTGATTGTGTCAATGATACTTTAACGAAAGTTAATGGCTCATGACAACTTGGCAGCCGGGTTCGCTTCAACGAAAAAATATTCACTAACCGAATCTGAACCGCCTCGTGTTACACATATAAGACGTTCATTGTTGGCCAGGGAAAGTTTCAAAAAGAAAAAACTTTCTCTGGCAAAATTCGCCATACTCTCCGCGACGTCCAAAAGCATTCGCTTCGCAAAAGCATCATTAACGTGCGCGCTTAAGGTAATCCTGTGTTCCTGTTACATTTTTATCCTCCACTTCGCTCTTGGAATGCAAGGCAATAAATTACTTACGAGCTAATAAATAATAATATTAAATATTTCTCGATATACAGAATAGTTATTAAATAACTACAACCATTTACAGCAGTGTGTGTGTATATGTTTTTTTTCACGTTCTCTTCTCGCGACGTAATTAAATATATCATATATATCCGTGTACGTGTGCCTACATGTGCAGGGATATTCAGGTCAGGCGCATCAGGCAGATTTGACAGCTGTCAAACTGGGGTTAATTTAATTCCTCATGATATTTCGGCCTGTTGTCTAGTCAAGCGCGACAGAAATTTTTGAATTTTCATTGAAAAATCGCGAGAGTAACAAGGTAAGCGAAACAAGCGAGCAACCTATACACATATAATATGTAAGCAGATGTTGTTGAATGGTAAAGAATTTTAGGAGTTTCCTATACTCGCTGCGTGTGCGAGAGAGACCGACTTATGGGCGTTCGCGTGCGTAAGACAAGGACAGTCATTGCGAAACGTCAAACCATGAGTATACATACACCTGTTTGAAAATTGAATTTAAGAAATTTTTAGTAACGTTTCATCGAAACGATTGCATGTCAGCTATCAAGTCTGAGTGACGTCGTTGAACTAGATAACCTCGTACATATATACATATATAATCTATATATTTATATTTATTTATAATATGCTATTTCAATTTCTCTTACTTTCTCGCACTCACCTCTAATACTCTTCTGTACAAATATTTATATATAAAATATTCATCGTATCGACTAACTATCCACCGAAAGCATTTGACACTCGAATATAATTAAAAAAAAAAAGATTTAATAGACGCGTCCCAACGTTCTGTCTATTTCCATGCGTTTATGAAATTCGTCATAATTGATAATTCGAGGTTCGTCTTTCGATGAACGGTCATCGATATAGTACGTGCCCTGTTGGGTTGTGCCCTGTACATCATCATCAGGTATCAGTCATACCGATACACTCAGCAGTTCCTAACTAGGTTGAATACGCATGAGACACATCGCGATATCCCTACGTTAATCTAGACATCGGGATGTCATCATGACGATTCCTTAATACCCATGTATCACCATATTATTACAACGACCAATGCCCTGAACCAACGTGAGGCGTTGAATTCTTGGATATCTCTAGTGTAACTAACCACCTCGTCCGATCATTTGACGTATCCTCCTTTCACTTCTTTTCTATTCAGGCATTACTTCTTTTTTAGCCGATTTTTCGTTTTATCATTTCGCCATTCCTCTCTCCAAAGTACCACAAATCGGTGCAAAGAAACGGCTGGCTTTTTCTACACGTCGAATTGATCTTAAAGCAATATCTCCGTGAATGACTATTGAAATATTATAGTCGCTCAATCGACTCGCATATGAATTTCTGTATCGTGTACGTTTTTATGAAGCGCATTCGAGCCATGGTTATTAGATTAAGACAAGAAGTGTGAATCCTAGGCAATTACTATCTACTTAATAAAAAAAAAAATCTTATTTCTTCTGTTCATTCTCTTCTGGTACTTTTTAGCTACCTGGTGCTAATGTCCCATTTCCGATTAATGGACAATACGGACAGATGAAAATAGATATATACTGATTTTATATCATGTGAATGAAGTATGTCTATACGTGTGTGTATATGTATATATATATAGAGAGATATATAATTCACGAAATTTTATCCCGTGTCTATAATCTTGATAATTTCGATACTCTAAGTAACAAAGAATCTTGACACTAGCACGATTTGACCTATCTACTAAATTTAAAACTATCGATAGAGCTTGGAATAATTCGGTAAAGCCCTATGGACGGATCGTTCACTTGGTGACAGCACGATGGACGAGTAAGTTGGCAAATTACATTTTTTCTCCCTCTTTCATTCCACCCTTATTTCTGCTTGATCAAACTTAACTTCACAATTTTACTTCTCCCTATTTTATACAATCTAAAGGCACAATTTGTCCCGTTTACCGATGATGTCCGAAACAAGTAAAAAATGTCTTTAACAGTTCTAGGTATCTTCGTCTTGAGTTTCTTTTTTCCTTTTCTCGATGAATACTTTTTAGTTAGTGGCGTTTACTCACCGATACACACCTTGAAGCAGGGACACCACCGCCGCCATCATTTAGCCCCACGTCGTAATCCTTGTATTTACTGATGACTCTTACTCAAGAGATGCGAATTGAACTGATAAAGGTTACAGCACTGTTCCCCACAGATGTTACACTTCCAAGGGTTACTTTCGCTATGGCAACCCTTGTGGAGAAAGTACAAAGTTTGGTCAGGGAATGTTATCCTGCAGTGAGTACACTGTAGACCGCTGCTACGTGGATCCGGTCTGGTTGAGGTCGGTGGTTCACCCCTAGAATGGGGATTGGAGTTCGAGCCATTGTTGTTATTATTGCTCGAGCTTGTCGATAGTTTACGGCGAAGGTCATCTCGCAATAAAGATTTCAATGGGGAAACCTTTATAAGGGATGGTAATGGTAAGCTGCTGGACGTTGCACCATTGTCGTCCATTCCATTGCTGTTTGGTTCTTGCTTTATGGGAATGAGGGAAATCGAGGGAGTGATGGCTTCATCGCCACCACCGACGTTTCTGAAAAGGAACGGCCAGAAATCGAAATTTCTTTCAGTATTTATGTTCAGAATTGTAGTGAAAATATTTGGCAATTGCTAGTCACCTGTGAATGATACTGCTATTCATTGGTAGCTGATGATGACTACTGCTCGGAGCATTGCTGTTGCTGTCAGCACTTTGAGGACTATTTGGGCTATCTCCATTCAATGGGGTAGGACTCGCGTTGCGCTGGTTGTTTCCTTGCTCAGGATATGGAATGGATATTTCAACGTGGGGGGTAAGAAAATGCATAGGAGGTGTTACGTTGTCAGCGGATCTGTTACCCGTACTGTCGCCGCTATCTGATAACGGAGCTGATGGCATAGCTTCTCCTGGGGTACAACTGTTCATTATTGAGGTCGAACTGTTTGGTCCGGGATTGTCAAGGTCTATTCCGTGTCTGAAAATAAATTCTCGTTATCGCAGTGGCCGTTATTTTCATTTATTAATATTATTCCGCATATGTGAGAACGGACCTGTTAAAGAAATGTAGCCTGAGACACTTCATAGTAGCTGCTCGATAGTTACACAATGGACATGATTTGACCATGTCGTGTTGGCCGACATGTTCATTCTGAAAATGTGCTCTCATAGCTATCTGCCTTTGAAAACCTCTATTACATATTGGACAGTGATAAGGCAACGTTTTAGAGTGGGTTGTAAAATGTTCAGCTAAGTGATCCTTTCGGAAGAACCTTTTCTGGCACACGCGACACTCGTATGGTTTTACTCCTGTGTGTCTCATCTGAAAAAATAATATTAAGACTGATGATATGAAAATAAATGGTATGAGTAGGTATCCCTACTTTATGCCGCCTCATATTGGCCCCATTGGAAAATTTCATGTTGCAGACATCACACTCAAACATCTTTCTGTGCGATCTATGTCCGGAATGTCCCTCTTCTGCATCTCCATCATTTTCTGTTCCCTCGATGCCTTCAGCACTTTCCCCAGCTTCACCACCAGCAAGACATTGATCTTGGTGTGCACAAAAAGCTGTCTTATTTATAGTTTCATAGTTATCACAGCGTTCACACCTAGATAACCAAAATTAAAAAATAAATAACTATAATTTGCTAATATATTATCATAGAATAAAAACTGAACCAATCTAACCTGAAGGCTGGTACAGCACCATCGCTGCTGTCATAATTGGTATTAAGTGCAGCTTCATTGTCAGGATCCAAAGCCTCGTCCTCCCTATGATTTGAAGAATCACCAGCTTCAGCATGAGACGAGGAATGAGAGTCTACCTCGTTTTCCCCACCACCGCCATCGACCCCATCTGACATGATACCGAGCAGTGGGACTATCCTAAGCCCTTCGTCCAACCTATATCAAATAAATGGCAAAACATAAATAGCATATCCAAGAATGTATAAAAATAACCTCCATATCTTGTTTACTATTTAAAATTATTATATCACAAACCATAAAATAAAGAGCACTAGATCAACAATTAAGAACACTATAAAAGATAGGAGTAAGAGAGAGTGAGTTTGGTGTGGCACTTCTGCAATGAATCCCTAGGGAGACAGTAAATCGCAGGTGGTATTTTAACTGGGCAAATCTAAGACTTCTCTTGTTTTCCACGCATCCATTACCTGTCAGTTCATAGAACCTATCTTGTGTTAAAACTGAGTAAAGTTTGAGGAGGAATTCGAGAGCAAGGTGCAGTGGCACAGGTATTACCCAATCCTGGGAAGATTACGGCATAGAAACACCTGGTGGTAGAGCGCAATGCCAGAGTGCACTGCACTTTGTCCCAGTTTTGACCAAATCCGTCACTCGTGACGTAGTTTTCGCGGCTTTTCCGTGGAAAGGAAATGATAGTATTGAGGAAAAACCATAATACCTAACAGATCTACTTACTCACATTCCTCGGGCGGCGAGCCTCCGTCTCCCTTCAGAATTTCCCTCGTCCTCTTAGCACCTATGACCGCACGCGCATCCTCATTTGATTTTTTTCCTTTTTCACGACACGACAGGCACACAAATAAAATGTAACGGAAGTGCGAGCTATCCGTATTCTCGTTCACCGATATCGGTCTCCACTGTTACCAATTGTTGACGCAAAATCCACTGAAACACCATAGTCTTACCTGATGAATACTTCACAACCGTTTACTACTTTCAAATTAAATATTACTCTACTCTCTACCTCAATTCATTTACTTTCAATTAAACCATACTTTTACCATTATTGTACACCTTCAAAGTTCTCCAATTGAAAACCGATAACTTTGCTCACGTTGGCACCACATATGATCAACATCGACAAGTTGTCAAACGTCACAGGTTGTCCCATTTATCTTGAGCATTGCTCCAAATGACGAGTTTCATTTCTACTTTTACAGGAACGACTAGTCTACACCAATAAATCATCCATTAATTACACATTCTGTAGTTTCTGCAATAAACGATATAACAATAACTTTCACAAGATGCACTATAGTATTTTGATCCTATAATAAAGCTTTTAGCAAGTAATATACCTTACAAGATGTAATACGAATCCTTTCCTCGGAATCATTGTGCTACTTGATTCTACGAGAATCAACATCCTCTCTGGAAGATAGTTATGGATTATGATAATGAGTAGTGTGTCAGGCACTTTGCTTGTTATCTTTTATTACTATTTTTTCTTTATCTCAGTGTATCCTAACGTAATTCCATTGTATCTGCTTTAATATACGTACATGGAAGTGTATATGGCATGAATTTATCTCAGAGAACGTTTTACGAGGTTGGCAGTACGTTGGGCGCTTGACATTCATCACATACTGACTTTCTGTGCGGTAGGTTGCTGTAAGATTGATCTGTAAACAGTACTCCAAAAGTGCCTTGGACCAATTTGAGCGAATTATCAAGAAGACTGATATTATCATTCCGAATAAATAGGACCAAGTTAATTACAGACATTCATAGATATATAGAACAGGCAAACTTTTAATGCGTACTGGAAACCATTATTATACTCGATTGAATTTCGGAGTACATGAGACGAAAATACAGTGAAGCATTCAAAATCAAGGTAATAGTTATTATAAAATCTTGTATCAGTTGATATATCTATAATAAGAGTGCTTTTTCGTAATGCGTTATTAGGTATTTATTGTAAATTTATGAGTTCGTAACGACTTGTGTTTACTGTCAGTAGTCTAGTTGATTGATTTAAAAAATGTTACGTGATCTATATTGTAATGTTTCTTTCTGGAATGCTTGTAACTTTCTTTTATAGGCATATTTTATTTTAGTTTTTGATGCTCCGAAACCATCTCTACACTATCAATGGAGAAAGGTTTAATTAAGTGGATGAGAGGGAGAGAGAAAGACGGAAGGAGGAACGAAAGAGATAGTATGCGCGTTATGATGGCGAACTGTTGGGCGTAGCTCGTGGTACCTGTTGATTAACGTTTAAATAATTATTAATAAACCATACGATTTTTCGCATTGTTGGATCTGTGTGTTAAATGACTTTTGTATTACTGAGAAGAATATAATAATGAAGTCTCATGGTAATATATTAATTTGTAACCGGTCGTTATATATGTTTGAATTGTTAGTATTTTTAAAATTTCACAATATGTGTATGTATGGTATTTTGATACTTGTAACCAGTGGCAAATATCTTTACCAATTCTTATCACTTGGTTGCCTGTTAGAACAGACAGCATGTACAAATATTTGTGCAGCCAGTTTCAAAAGTAAAACAAAGCTCTTTGGTATCCCAAGAGTAGATTCATGAGTCAGCATACATAGCTGACAGAGTTCTGAAATATTTTTAGTTATAACCGGATTACAATTCTGTTTTAGACTTAAGTGATGGGCAAGGGTGAGGAGAGTACAAGCACAGAGGCAAAGGAATCAACGCTTCTGGCAAAAACATCTACAGAGGCTAGTAAAATGCTTGAAGCAGCCTTGTTACAAATGGATGGAATTATATCAGGTAAATTGTCAAGATATTGAAATAAGCTCTTAACGGTGTAATACTTATCATAAAATATTCATTATACTATTGCATAGGAGCTTGTGCAGAAGGAGGATCAGATGGGAACTCCGAGTGGAAGGATTCTGTGAAGGAAGCTACGAGAAATCTAGTAGCAGCTATACAAAATGCACCAAATCCACCACCACCGCCAGATGGAAATACTATGGAAATTCTTTTAGAATGGATGCAATCTGTAAGTAATTAATAAATCAATAATTCTAGAAAAACTTTTCCTGTGGGGCCTTAATAAAATTCCTGACATTCTGAAAGTACATAAGAATTTTGGGTTGTCATGCTATAGGCGCAATTTCTTGTTAACAGAAAAACGTGGTAAGTACATTGCGTACGAATAAGTGCCATTGCCCCACGAGTGTATACATGCTAACAATAAGGCTATTACTGGAAAAACACGTGTTTCTTATACAAGAAAATATAGATACTCTTGGAAAACCTAAAGCACCCTGAAACTCTCATATACGTCCACACATTACGACGTGTCAAACCCTTCCGGAAAAATATTGTTCGCAACGTACGGAGGTACTGCATAACACGTGGGTCGCATCCGGTCCCGTTTCCGGTACGCATTTTCCACCCAACTGTTGACAATCAAATTACCGATCACGTATCCACGTATCCGGACATCGTGCTGTAACATAGGCAGTGGTCGCTGTAGATAATTACTCATCGTGTCTCATGCATGCAGGTTTAATGAGTTATAGTGTAGGACTTTGAATTTATAAATGGGAAAATTGGGACACGATACCACGTAAGGAACTAATAAAATTCTTCCTTATTATGTTTCTAGGTATTTTATTGCTAGTGTGATCCAGGAACTGAGTGATAAAATAAATCCAAGATCAATGTTCTTCCCTCGATTACTGACCATTTTTACGATTACAAGGAATCAATTGGAACTAATATAAATGATAGCATTCTCTTTTAGAAGCTAATATGTTTATATGTTCTTTAATATGTTCTCTCTAATATGTTCGCCTTAGATATGTTTGCTTGAATTTATTCTTCTTTTTTGTCTTTTTTTGTTACGACCTTAGGCGGTATTTCCCTCTGGCCAGATGAAAGGGGCAGCGCCCCTTGGCGATAAAGACACAGAGGGAACACTGGCTCTATTTATAAAGCCGCCGTCTCGAAGGATTTCGTGATGTTAATTTTAGTTTTCGAAATGAAGGCGTACGTAGCGCAACGCACGACTTACGGTATCGCTCTGATCACAAATTCAGTGAAGATCAACATTTATTATTTACTGGAGAGAATCTAGAGGCGCGACTGATTCACGCTGACTCGATTGTGCTCCATAATCCATTTTAAAATTGTGTAAAACAATAACAAATCCCTTCAGTGATTACAGTGCAACCAAAGAACGTATTGGTATAAGCTTTCTTTTATCTTTTACACGTGTTATAAAAATATGCGAGTGAAGAAGTAATCGTGTACCGAAGCTATATAATTAACGTAGATAATTTCCGTGTTCATATGAAAAAAGATGAAGAATTATTGATAAGAAGAAAAAAAATGGAAGACTCCTGGAGCAGTGGATCAACGGTGGAACGTCAGGATCTAGATCCAATACTGGAGGAAGAGGATAAAAGTCAATCAAAAGGTTTCTAATTCTGTGAATCTTAATTAGAAAGTAATGAGGTTCGATTGGACGTTCACCAAGGTTCCAAGATCAGAACACGATACACTTGGCACAGCTTTTAAAACCCTGTCTGAGGAACATTGCCACGTCCGGACGTTTATCTTCGGCATGCCTGAACTAGAAACGAAACCTCATTTCGGCTTTTAATGTTTCTATCATGGAGAAATAAACTACTGTACAAAAATAGAGTAGACCATTAAAAGATGATCTCAATATATAAGAAGTTTCAAAGCACAAATAAACCAACTCTAGAATTCATGCGTAAAATATGCTCTAATAAAACTACAATAAACAATACTGAAGGGAAACATCTTGAAGAAGATTAACGATAGTCCTGACTTTATATTTTAGATTCCCAGTCAGATTCTTCGGATGCCACGTCAACGCTTAAAAGATGGGACTGTCGTTGGACACCATCGGAGGCTTACGACTCTTCAGGAACATCGTCGACATCGGAACAGGGTGAAGAATATGCTGAGGATTATCCCAGAGGAGTAGCCATAGACCTTCCTGGTCCTCCGAGTAATTCTCACAGTGCTTGCAGGTCCCAGGGTTGTCTCTGTCAGGTAGAACTCACAAATTAGTAAATCACAGTCAATTAAAATTCATCAACTACACTTCCAATTGTCTAGGCTTGTCTTCTTGGATACGCCAGAGTCATCGCTCTCCAGGGTAGTGTTCCTAACGTCTGCACAGCTTCTGCTAACGTTGCCCATCTTGCCTCTCTACCACCGTTGTATGCGACACCCTGCTCCAGCATTTCCAGCGAATTGCCATATCGCTCGACAAAAGAGTCATCGCCTATGAGATACATAAACACTGGATCTCATTGTCATTCTCAGAAGATCTCAACGGCGCAGATGGCCAAGGAATGTAATCTACGTGCTGCAGGACTCAGAGCAACCAGCACTACCTCCTTACCACCCAATCCTAGTCGCTGTGCTGGTTCACTGGATCGAAGGCGGCGCAGATTACGCAACAGGAGTGAGCGGGATCAAAGAGCAAGATCACATAGTGATTTGATCTGCTGTGATCGTGAGAGAATACAGTATTGCTCTCACCAGCAGTTCCAGTACGCCAGTAATCCTTATATGAACAGCTACAATAGTAACACAGAGGTACAGATGAGTGTAAAGAGAGTTTTCAATAAAGCTATACGAATTCCTTTGTGCCACAATGAATATTTGACCTATTACCGCCACCTTTAGATTGTTATTTTTTATTTCAATCAGAATTGGAGAAAATGTAGGATCTGATTTTGTTTCAGGAACGGCTTAAGAAGTTGGAGAATGAACGTGGAGCTTTACACATGGAAATATCCGTTCTATCAGAACAAGTTGATGCACAGTCAAGCAAGATCCATGAATTGGAAAATTTACTACAGGAGAAGAAAGATTCATTAAGACAGATGGAGGAAGCGTTACAGAAGGAAATGCTATCAAGGAGTGCTTTGGAGACGCAAAAACTCGAGTTACTGAGCTCCTTATCAGAGATAAAATTGAGACATGCCAGTTTGGAGCACGAGAACTTGGCTCTACGTAGTAGCAGTCCTCTGTCTAATGTAAGATGGTCGTTTGTCCTCCTCAGGGGTTCGCTATTAGGTTAATTTGTGGATCATGCTCTACCTTTATTTCCCAGGGCGAACGATTTAGCAGACATGCAGGACAGTACAGCAGCTTACCAAGACCGCCTACGTCCTCGAAGAAGGGAGTCGTCTTTGGTAAGGTCTCCAATTTAACTCCAGGAAGTCACACAACTGTACCATTGGCTATTAGGGGATCGTCCGCGAGGTGTCTCTCGGCGCCGATTCTAGGTTTAGACTGAATCCTATAAGCATGCTCGCCGTGTGTTTGCGAGGCTGCCACCTCCCCTAAGCGCACCCCTAAAACATTCTAATAATATTTAAATAATCACCTTCAAGATGAAAAAAGAGTCGGAATGTACTAACAACTCATAGCACGAAATTGCTAAGGAGCATGAAGCTTCCTGCTCGAAAAAACCAGTCCTTAAAAAAAAAAACTGTTTATTCTAATACAAATATTTTCTGGATATTATTCTAGCTGAAGAAGAGAAAATAGTTATTGGTGAAGCTGCTCCACAGCCAGAACCTACTCCTCTTCCGAAACCTCTGGCTGAACTCTCAATGGAGGATGTTAGTGACTGGTTATCCCGTTTAGGTCTAGAATGCTATGCAGGTGAATTAAGACGTTGGGGTGCAACAGGTACGAAATTACTGGACACAACACAAAATCAAATTGAAAAGGAACTGGACATCAAGAATACTTTGCACAGAAAAAAGCTTCTTTACGCAATCGAATGCGAGAGATGCAACGGAGTGGGCTTCCTCGGTTCAGAGAAGGTACAGTGGAAAACAATGTATCCTGTTATCCTAGTGTCTCTGAGAGAAATCGAGCTTAACTGTAATCACAGATGGATAGTGCTGCGGTTTTGCGCTGGCTGGACGACATAGGACTTCCTCAACACAAGGAAGCCTTTCACAATGCCAAAGTCGATGGTCGCGTTCTTCATAGATTGACCACTGAGGATCTGCTGAATCTCGGTGTCACAGCGCAGCTTCACGCGGCTAGTTTACGTCGTGGCATCCAGGTCCTGCGCGATCTCAATTTCAACTTCGACAACCTGGAGAGACGCTCTATCAATGGAAACGGTGCGGATGGTAGCAATGTTGCTATGTGGACCAATCACCGTGTGATGGAATGGCTGCGTGTAGTTGATTTGGCTGAATACGCACCTAACATGAGAGGATCTGGTGTTCATGGTGGTCTGATGGTTTATGAAGGCCGTTTCACTTCCGAACTACTTGCTACACTCCTTAGCATTCCTCCAGTGAAAACTCTACTTCGTCGGCATCTGACAACGCACTTTAATCAACTCCTTGGAAGGGAGGTGGTTCAGCATAAACGGGAAATTGAGAGTACTCTCGGTTTCGTACCACTCACTCTTACGGCTAGACTAAAAGTAAGTGAGAGTATATAGACTGCTTTAATATGAAGACAATACGATTTTATATATATTACACAATGATCTTTATATCAGGTACCAAAGAAATCCCAATTCACGCTCAAACGTAAGAAAAGTAAAAATGAGGTGGATTATGGAAATCTGGTCTGTCCTCTGGACCCGTCACCACCAGGTACTCCATCCACGCCCTCATCAACTCCGGGCAGCCCTAACTTGAACTCACCCACTCTCTAACCAAACAGATTCATTCGATCGCAGCATCCGAACTAACTCTCGTAAGTCTAACTCTACTAATGGCTGAGACAAGGGCTAATGGACTATATCTAATTCGACATAACATTAGGACAATCAAACGTAGCTTTATTTCTCATAAAATTCATTTGCTTGACAATCATCTTGTATAAATGTGTCTATCAGAGCAGTATCGACTTAAGAAAGAAAAATTTATAATTATTTTCAGATATGGATGAAGCTGGACACAAGAAAGTAATAGGCTGCATATAAGACAAGCAACAACCAGCTCATTAATTAAAACTAAATTATAATCAAACTCCAGAAAACATTCAATCAAAGATAACAATGATAGAAAATATACAAGCAGCTCGTATAATTAGTGAATATAACACTGCCTGGATGTGAACCAGCTAATCGTTAAAAACATAAATCTAATTAATAATAACATGAAAGTCTAAACAGTGTAATAACACTAAGGCGAGTCCCGGCGGTTGAGATAAATGACAGATATTTTTTTAATATTTCTTTTTATAGAATGTAAGGATAAAGAAATAAAAAAATAGGAACCGGGACACGACTCGTCATAATCAATACACAATTTACAAATAATTCAAAAGCTCATTGTGCGCGATAATAACAATATTCTAGATCATTATCGATCAGGATTATAAATGAAAGCCTGTATTTTTAATACTAAAGTATTCTACATAAATGTTGGTCGCGGTACAATATCATTGACAACTGCTAGTCTCTACTTTAAAAATGCGGAGAGGCTCATCGACCTTTGGCCCTTTGACTTCAATCTCCGCGGATTACTACGAGTTTGACTGAAATAAAGCAATGCCAAGTAACTTGAGGTTCCACTTACTAGATTAGAAGGTTCCTTTTATACATATAATAATTGTCAACCCCTTAGATATTTTGTGATAACATCCCAATCACTCTTTAGTATCATTTGTCATAATTCCGAAGTTCAGGATCATTTATCTGATGCTGGAGCTAGGCAAACAGCAATTATCGGAGATTGTGAAGACTGTAGGAAATTGATCCTTCATAGCTTTGTTACTCGATTTTGATCCTCTGCGTTTTCTGAAAGAATACAAATAGCCAAAAATGTGTGAATATAAAAAATACATAGATTTTGTAACGTTACCTCAGCATCAGCGCCATGTACGTCTCATTTAGTATTATCATAGATGTGCTAGGTATATCATTAGGATGCAAGTATTTAGAAATCTTTCGGATACTGTCAATAGCTTCGCCACAATTTTCTAATCCAATCTACAAAAGCAGTGTAGGATAGCAAAAATGTTAATATCAACATTGACTGATAATTCTTACATACCTTATTTGCTAGGCCAGTAAGCACTTTGGCTTCGTCCTGGGCGATAGTTTTCCTATGTGAATAAGCAGCCAACCATCCATATCTCGTAGTGCGTCCAATAGTTTTCCATCGTTCTCTAATAATCCTGTCGATCTAGTAAAGAAAAGAGTTTTTGAAATTCTCTAATTATATGTATATAAAAACCTACATCTTACCTCTTCAAGAAGATAATTGTCCTCAAAAAGATGATACGTTAGCATTGCCAGACCTTCGGATTTAATAGCTGCATTCGATTCTGGGTAGCGTTTAGCATTATTCAGAGCAAGCGATTTCATTTTAACTGAACTGGTGGAGCACTGTTAATTCTATGGTAAACAGTACCCATCTGCCTCGTCGCTATCATCAGTACCAGTATCAATATAAATGTAATATGTGATGCTACATGAATCGATCGGTTGAGCTTTCATAGATTTCTGGATATGGCGATAAAATTTCTAGTATGCGTTGCCATTGACAAGTCGAGGCGTCGACTGGTGGGGCATCACGCTCATTATCGCTTACCTGGATTAATCGATAATCAGATAATAATTATAAATACAGGAGTGTTCCCTTTTGTCCATTTTCAAATCTTATCTCGATCAATTAGCAAACAAAGTGAGTCTCATAGGCCGTACTTCATGTATCCCTTTTCATAATGAGTAAACGTCTATATCAGTTGGCCATGGATCTTTGTGATCTCTTTAAATGCTATGTTAGTACGGTTAAGGAAATGTTCAATGCACTCACTACTTTTTAAATATTCTTCAAATTAAGGGATATACGAGTGAGTTACACAGAAACAACGTTGAGCATGTACACCAGGATCACAGACTGTTACAATTCTCGCTTTGACTTTCGTTGTGCCTCAGGGTTCTCGCCAGGACAGAATTGCTAGTAGATACTTGATACCATATTCTTGCTTAATAGAGATTAGGATCTTGCAGTTTGCATCTATCCTCAAGCTTGATACGCTCCCTTATTTACTAGCACTTTGTTAATGTCATTCTTGGACTTGATAGATACGTGTACACTGGACTACCTTTGTGTATCCAACAATTCACGTTGTAGCAGTTTGGTACCTAGTCTTTGAATGCGCAATGTTAAACAGTTTTAGATAATTGATTAAATGACACGATAAATCATTTTAACAGAAAAGTTAGGATGCCACGGGCGGTTTTTCGCATCTCATGTCGCAGGCAGATCTGAATCAGACAGCATCGGAGGAGGCAATTCTACAAGCAAGAGGATACAAGCTTATTAAGAAACTTGGCGAGGGTTCTTATGCCAAGGTTTCTATATTGATTAATATTAGGATTATACTCTTATAAGATTCACATTGGATTCCCAGGTGTATCTTGCTGAGTACAGACCAGAGAACGATCCTGAGCGCAATAATAGTCTGGCTTGTAAAGTCGTGGACACTGTTAAAGCCCCAAAAGACTTCGTTCGTAAATTCCTACCGCGTGAACTGGATATCCTAGTGAAGTTAAATCATCCCCATGTTGTGCATGTACATAGCATATTCCAAAGACGAACCAAGTACTTCATATTCATGCGTTTCGCTGAGAATGGTGACCTCCTCGACTTCATCCTGAAGAACGGTGCTGTTGCTGAGAGTCAGGCACGGGTCTGGCTTCGGCAGCTTTCACTAGGTACATGAACAGGATATAGAATGAATAGATAATTAAAACAAGGGAAATGCTCATACCTTTTGGATACTTTCACCCATTTTTATTAGGACTTCAGTATCTGCATGAGATGGAAATAGCCCATAGAGATATGAAATGCGAAAATGTTTTACTTACCTCCAATTACAATGTTAAACTTGCGGATTTTGGATTTGCAAGATACGTCGTCGACGCGAGAGGTAAAAAAGTCCTGAGCGATACCTACTGTGGATCCTTATCATACGCTGCCCCAGAGATCCTCAAAGGATCTCCATATAATCCAAAGATTGCGGACATATGGTCTCTCGGTGTGATATTGTACATAATACTAAATAAAGCTATGCCCTTTGATGATACCAATATCAAGAGGCTCTACGAGCAGCAGACAAACAAGAGATGGAAATTTCGTGGGAAAGTAACAGATATATTGAGTGAACAAGCTAAGAAATTGGTCATCAATCTTTTGGAACCGGATACAGGCAAAAGATGGAGAATGGATCAAGTGATACACAGTGAGTGGATCGCAATGGATCCACGACTGATGATCCTTACACCGGCTGAACAGACAGCATTAAATGCAGCCATTGAGGAGCGCAAGAAGAATGAAGAAAAATTAACTAAAGCTATGGTGAATTATTCTCCGATGAAAAATTATAATTTAGAGGTTTTTATTTGATTGCAACGTCTTATTGGATTGAATGTTATTATAGAAATCTGGTAAAATTGATGATAAGAAAAAAATGGGAACTGATAACGGTGAAGACAAGAATCGGGTCGGGGAGGAGGTGACCATTATCAAGGATGCTGTTAAGGTGCTGAATTCTCTATAATCTATAATATGATTCTTATTTTACATATTAATTTTTAGCCAGCAGGTTCCACGATTATTGGAACGGGCAACTATTTTCGAAATCTTGGTGCTTCGGCATGAGTATATAGAAAGGAATTTTTATATCTTTACAAAACACAAGAAAGAGAAGAATAAATTTAACATATATAATTTATGTACCTCTTTTAACAATCTAATAAATAACGTTTATACACTTTATATATAATTACTGCATTGATCTTACTTATTTCCCACGTACCGCGATTGCAGTAACGTCGATGTATTTCCTTGCGTCAATTGCAGATAATAATTATTACCAAATATGAATCCTTCTATCTTTCCATGTAAATCTCCTGAAAACACTTTACGTGGTCCTGCAATTCCTCCCAATCTCCATACTCCACTTGACAGACTTAATAACAATTCGTTAGTGGGTATAATTTTCATCAGGAAGCTATCCGAACCAGGCAAAACGTATTCTTGATATTCTCCCCATGTTTCATAGCGCAGGATCATCATCTCCAAAGGAAATTGAATAGCCAACCAGAGACACTCTGAAGTCACTTGCAGGGATACTTTAATCGCGCCAGGTATACTGAGCCCTGTACAAAATATTTAATCACTTGCAAACCCTTTTATTATTTTATAACGAGGAAAGGGATCATACAAACCTAGTACAAGATATGGTTCTTTACTGGAAATATCAAAACGATAAATCTCCAAGCTGTCTTGTGCATCTGACACAGCATGTACTGCATAGAGTTCACCAGCCATGACTACTACTTTACTCAGTAAAGTTTTTTTAGCATTTGGTAATAAAACCAAACCATACAGTTCTTCATTGTTGCAAAGCAAAGATCCATTCGTTTTTTTGCAATTTTCTAATCCTGAAATATCTATTGACTCATTAGGTAATTTATCTGGAATTAGAGGTGTAGAATTTTCTTCGAGAAGTTCCAATTTGTGCCAGTAGCTTGCTCGGTCTGTTAAAAAATAAATAAAATGGAAAATGAAAAATTGTAATATTTACAAATGATCAACTATTATCTCACTTTTTAATGCACGACTTATCCCTTCTGCAGTACTTGACAATATTGACATTTTATGGATTACAGGTTTTAGACCAGAGTATAATTTATTGTAACTCTTCAGTTCAACTCCTTCGTAAAATCCATCTATGGTGACATTGCCCAAAACTTCTAAGCCATTTCGTAATGAGATACTTGTTTTAATTATTTGTACATCTTTCTGTTTCTTTAATTGATATTCTACTAGATTTGTCAAGTTAACATCATTTATAGGTCCATTTATGTTCAGAGCTGGTGCTCGTACGTTACCATGAATAGTATTTATACTAGGGATCCTCTGGTTCGAAGATTTTAATAATGCATTTTCGATTTTGCGACCCATTATAGTGCCAAATACTCTGTAAATAAATTTTTCATAAGCAAATTCAGTATTAAACTGTTTTAGATTAATTACCGTAGGTCCTGAATCTCAACGGTCTTGAAAGTCTTACGACCATTCAGAATAATCAGTTGTTCAGAATTGTTGGTACGTAAAGTACCTTGTGCCCACTTTGAAAACTTTAGACCATTAATGTTATCAGAAAATATGTCCTGAACTATTTTGTTTCCAGTTATAACATTTTGCTTCACATCAGATCTCACAACGTCGGTCGATAGATTCAATCCATTTACTTTACCACGCAAATCCAGATTTCCTGCAATGAGATATTTCTATTAGTTATTCAGTTTCATAGAAAGGATTTTCAAGTTTCTGGGTTTACCTAATATTTCTAAATTCTCGAATCTTATGCTTCCAGTTACAATTTGTGGATTATTTCTTCGTAGAGCATATTTGTCGATACCATCTAGTAGCGTATTTGGTGCCCATAGTGTTGTTGAATTTGAACCCACAAGATTTGGCATTTCTACATTTCTCATAGTAACTTGTACATTAATATTCTGAGACTTTGTTTTACTTAAGATACGACTAGAAATCTTCTTCCAGGATCCAAAACGTGGAGTATTAAGGAACTCCTGTTGTATGACAACTTTTCCTGGTTTCTCAAAAGTTACGTTCTTAAATTCAACGTTTGACGCGGTCACATTAGTTGGTCTGGTCCTTAGCCAGATCTCGTTATACACGGTCTTCAGATTTTTCCCATTGACATTCTCAATCGTAGGCTCAGTAGGAAACGTTGCAGATCCTATAGGCAATATTTTAATATGAGTTATCCCCATTAATGATATAAGTAAAAAAATAAACTTACCATACAGCAAATAACTTGTTAATTTTTCATCTATCGGGTAACTGAAACTTAGAGGCAAGGATAATGCCTCTGTTTTCAATACGTTGTCTACAGTTTTGGAACCTAGATTATTCATTGACTGATAGTTTGGAGAAAAGTTAATTGGCCCATGATCAGCGTATAATTTCTCTACTATGAATCCACCCTCTGAAACAGATTTAATGTTCAGAAATCAATAGATCCATTACAAATAATTATTATTTATCACCACAGCTTATTCCTTACCAAAGGTAATATTCGTCAAGGATATTATATCATCCAGTCGAACAACATTTCTCATAAGATCAACAATATTTACTCCATTGATAGTTCCGACGTAGGTGTTCTTTTTTGACGTAACTTTGTTGACTTCTTGAGGTAATAGATTCTTGAATCCATCATTCGTAATAACATTTGTTATCACCAAATTCTTAGCTTTTACAGGTCCTTTGAGAATCCCTGGTTCAACCCACTTATTAAGAAATTTTTGTAATCCTGTAATATATAATTAGTAAATAGATAAGTAGTGAAACTATTTAAATTAACAAAAAAAATATTTACCTTGAAGATCAACGTATTCCATTGAGGATACTAAAGCGTTAGAGACTTTAACGGTGCCAAGAAAATTTTTGAAATTCAAAGAAGTGTCATTAAATGAAGTTACAGAATCTCTAACAATCTCATCTAGTTTAGGTGCTCCATAAACATGTTTAGCATTTAATGATTTAGTATTAAGCTGATCTATTGTTATATTGTAAGTTTCGATACCAATACTCGTCGCTTCTGTACTACACAAATTACCCTTTAATCTGGATAAAAAATAAGATTAAAGATATTATTTACAATTAAGAAATTAATAATATGAATCACTTACTTGGACAATGCTAAATTATTGTACATGGACTCTGTTACAGAAACATTGAATGGAGCATATTTAGTTCCTGTAATATTGACAATAGAATCCCGGTGATCAGTAGTTACAAACGGTAACCCAGACAATAAAGTCACATTGCTCCAAACCTAAAATTTTATAAAAATAATTAATATCAAAAAAAAAATGATTGAGATATGTTCCAAAAGAAAGATGATACTCACGACGTTATCACTAGAGAGTATTAAATGTACAGGAACATCCTGATCCAAGAGTACAGCATCGTTTACAATTTGAGATAAACTTTTTCCTTTACTTCTGGTTAACTCCGATGCTTCTAAACGCTTTATAATTTCTACTCGTTGTAGAGTATAATCACCTGTGAACGTCTTTGTACCAGGTTCGCTGTGAATCCTAGGTTTCAGCTTACTAGCGCCTTTTCCCTTTAGCTGTCCTCTAATATCAATCAATGATGTAGTCCTTAATTTAGAGATAGTCATTGTACCACTTATTGTAGCGGGATCCCCATTCAACGGTAATAAGATACCGCCTTGAGTTAAATTCAAGTTCTTCACTTTAATAGAAGAAGTTTGAATGTCCTGATTTGTAATCTGTGTCGCTATTCCTATTGGGATTAATGCTCCAGTGACATTAAGAGTGGCATACACATGTTCAGCAGTGATTTCCTGATCACCAGTGACACATAATGCATCTTCCTCAAGGGATGAAAACTGTATCCCATTAATCACTCCAGTTACAGTAATTTCGTTAAGGTCCACAGATGGAATAGGACACTGAAGCTTCTTCATAGATCCTATTCTAACAGTTTGAAATTTAATCTGTTCATAATCATTCTGTATCTTTCTTAGATTTCTCATATGATGAAAAGTCTCTCCAGTAGTAACCCTTTCTGCTTTGCAGTATGATTTGCACTTCATCCTTGCAGTTCTTCCAGTTAGGGTGTTAAGCACAGTATTGTTTGTCATCATAGAAGCTGACACCGATTTCTTTTGATTATCTAATTTAGATACAATTTCTTTGTACTGATATGTGAGATCTAAAAGCTGTTGTACATTGTTCTGTTTAATATCTTTGCAATGTAGTTGCTTGATATGCCCATTCAGTATTCGAATAGGGCCTTTCAATGTAAGGTCTGCTTTCAGAATTCGCCGAGCTCTTATGTTTGCCTCAGTGCACCAAGCTTTTATATCCTCCCTTAGATTCTCCCAGGTATTTTGTTGCTTCCAAATAGGCTTGTTTAATTTCCACAGCCCATTCGTATAACGGATTGCCAAAAAAGGTTCTCCATAAAGGAACGTGGTACGTATCTCTTGTACTTGAAGGATTGTAACATCTAATTCAACAAATTTCCATCCATCGTACTGGTACATTTTAATTTCATTCTGCCTTTGGCTAATAATCAATGCTGTTTCATGCGTAGTCAAAGAGAATATCCTGTCAGCAGCTTCAATTTCTTGAAATGGTACAAAACGGTTCAAAGAGTGTTTATAAAGAACTGTAGATTTTTCATTGGCAAGTGCTAAGTAGTATTCTTTTAGATGTTTCCCTTCAAAGTGAAACACTACAGTATCCTTTGTGGCTGGCAATCTCTGAGCAATTGTAAATTTATTTGGTCCCAAAAGAAAGTGTAATATAATAGTGTGCGATCCTGTTGCCACTAAATGCATAGAAGATCCCATTGTAAAGGGCACTAATGTTTCAGCTCCAAAACGTATAGTCTGTATTAGATCAAAGGTCTCTCCAAGCCAACGATATATATGTATATATTGACTGGATGCTACCCCCAAAAAAAGCTGATTCATTCCTCTCCATAGAGTTAAGTGAGATATAGCTGGAGTATTAAAATCCTGTGCGAAATAGAATACAGTCCCTTCCATAGTTTGCAGAAGCTTCAAGACTACTATGGTGTTATCGAATTTTTCTATTACTAATACTATAGTACTGGATTCGGTACTATCCACGGCAATACTCTTGCCTCCCTGTAGTGCATAGGATGCAACTTGAATGAAAGATATGCCCTACAAAAAAATCGCACTATAAGAATGTCATTTTAGAATTCAAAGATCATTGCCGCAATATTGCATGAGTTAAAGAACTTACGCTTATAATGAACAAGGATACTCCAGCAGAATCTAGTGAAACAGCAAGGAATTGTTGCTCCACATTATTCTCTTTGACATAGAATGCCAGGTCCAGTGTAGTTGTTGAATTAAACATAGAATACTCTTCAAAACCGCTACACTTTTCAATGACAGCTGTAATGAGAGATACAATTTTTGAAAGACGCGCTTTGCGTAATTTCTTTTTTATCATTTCGCCAGAGAGGGGATAGACACGTGGTATAGTATATTAATGTGGCGTGTGCTTTCCATATATCTCTTTTCATAAAAGTATATACTAAATATTATTTTGGTGATTTTTATCTGTATTTTATCAGAGCTGAGACCTTGGGTCAGACTGTTTATAGTTTGATGATTCTTTCCTTCAAAATTATCAAGCTATATATATTTTTTTAAAAAGATATTGGAGCTTTGCATCATTTTACAACATCTTTTGCTAGTTACAAGCTATTTCTTTTACTGCTGTGGACCTTATGTTACTTATGTACAGTGTTCGATATCATGTCACTTTCTACAGAATTGATAGAAAACTTAACAGCTCAAGTTTTAGAACTAGAAGCTCTCCAAGCAGTATATCCAAAAGAATTAGTGATAGCTGATTATGGTGTTTTGGCTGACATTAATAATTACATTGCTGGGAGCAATGTAGAGATACCACAAAAATTGGAGTACTGTATTGAAATTTCTATATCCAAGGTAAATTTTTCATTATATATTGTCATACTGAATATAAGAATGGATCTATTAATTTCAAATGAATTTTCAGGGTGCATTTGAGCTACAGGTGACTTTGCCTGCTCACTACCCGAATATATATCCAGAAGTGTATGTTAGGAGTTCCTTGTTAGACAGAACTCAACAGATGAATTTAAATAAGTCATTGTCATTATTTATGAATTCTCAAGAGAAAGGTGAACCTTGTATATATGCTTTGATATCTTGGCTACAGGATGACATAGATAAATACTTGGAGCAATCAGAATTAAATAAAAAATCTAAGGGGAAGCTTAAGGAAACTGAAGAGTTAGACAAACATGTTTTTGGACGATATTGGGTTTACAGTCATCACATATATAGTAAATTTAAAAGAAGAGATATTGCGGATCTTGCCAAAGAGAATTCTCTATCTGGTTTTACCTTAGCTGGTAAACCAGGAATAATTTGTGTTGAGGGTGCTCTAGATGATTGTGAGTACTGGTGGCAAAAGGTATTATTTATTGTTATATTATAATCCTATCATGTACGATTACTTTGAAAATGTCTTAGTCATATAAATGATTTTATTTTTTCTACAGGTAAAAACTATGAACTGGCACAAGATATTAATAAAGTTAGTAGAAGAAGAAAATTTAGACAACAGAAATTTAGATAGTTTAAGAAAGTTTTCAGGATTTCAAGAAATATCATTTGCAACGTCAGAAAAGCACAATGACATGGGACAGCTCTTAAAATATTTAACTGAGCATGATTCTCACCATGCATTTAAAGAATTTTTTGGCGTTGAGGGGAAGTCTGCTCAATTATAACTAATTAATATATGTCTGTATTTGTTATACCTGTCCTGTCAGATTATATGTATATTTTTATAAGCAATAACGTTTATTATTTATGATAAGCCAATTTACCTTTTTCAGGATCAGTAAATCCACTGAGTTGTCTTTTGTAACGAGTAGGATGTGATTTCTTAAATTCAGTCATGTAACTTGCAATTTCTATATTGATTTCTTTTATTAAATCTGGAGTGGGTGGAATTTTTTCTGTGAAATAATAAACAAACCATAGAGTCAAAGTATGTTACAAGGAACTATTAATTTTATGAGATATAGTACCATAATTTCTTTTTAAGCTCTCAAAAAATTCTGTTGTTTGATGCAGAGTCTCCTCCAGGGCACTCGGTGTCGATATTACTTGTGTGAAAATACATGTTAAAGAAATAACTAACAAGTAAATTTTAAACATCTCTGCCTCTTAGAAATACCAATGATCAACTGAATTCGTTTCTTGTAATGAATAAGTATGGGTTACTGGAAAGAGCAGTGTCCTATAGTACAATTCTGTTTACATTTCTTATATTCAAAACCGATATAAGTGTACAAAAGAGTTTGAATTTTATATACAAAATATTTCTATCAAACCAATTTATTTACGGTTTCTTATGGACTTATAAAGAAAAATACGGTATTATCTTATAGTAGCATATCGTTGAAATTCATTAGTTAGAAATTGGCCTGGCATATGTGGAGCTGGTGGGCCCAGAGCATCCTGAGCAGGACTATGGATCTTGATCTGCCTCATATGGGTATCTCTTCCATTCTGATGATTACTGATGACTGCTATTTGAATCATGAAGGTCCTGATAGGTCTATCATTGATGTCCTTAATGGGAATCACTACCCAGCCACTGGGCTCGCTGAGATCCATAAATTCTACTTCTTGGAGATCATTGAAATTTGTGCCTGCCCTGATGCTTATTCTGAAAATTTGTTACGTTTCATCTCTGTTATATTATACTGCTGAGTCCTATCCTGCTTGCTTACCTATTTGGTGTATAGCTCTCATCTAATTTGTAATCAGTATAGATACAGATATCTCGGATAGTGGTTTTCCTACGAAACTGAATATTCACAAGATGTGGAAGCTGTCCATCAGACTGCCAATATGTCTCTGTAATATCATCTCTAAGCTGGTCCACTCCAAAACCAGGTTTACAACTCGACAGACTCCAAATTGCTTGGTTTCCAACTTCACGTACTCTACCTGGTAGCTCTTCCTGTACAGGATCTAAAATCTACTATAATAAACGACAACTGCATACCTATTTGGAGTTTTAATCAAATAATATACAGACGTAATTAAATGTTCCTTGCCTCCACCACCAGTTTTATTACTCATATTGAGGTTACAAACAAGTCAACTCATTCCTTGGTCATTCAGCCCTTAGAAAAAACCTTCTGTCATTGCCAGAAGTTTTCTTTTTTTAATGAAGATAATACTTTTATCTACTATCAGCTATTTGTAAAACCAATGCTTATAATTCTGATTACGACAGAATTATGCAGAGATTATCTACAATTCGAGGACACTGTGTGTTTTGAATGGCCGTTACCATGGCAAAATTGACCTCACATAAGCATGACTGAAAACTACCCCACGTTAGCAGAATTATGTCCATACAGTACCTAGTTGGAAATTTTACGTTCTTTCAGGATTCATTAGGAACTCTAACTTTTCAAGATTGTTTGATCTTTAGATATCTCGACAAGATTGTAACGGTGGACCAATTTTTCTACATACAATTTCAATTTTCTACATACAATAATGACTCTAGTCTTGACTAGAATTGATTATGCTACTGTGGGAGCTACATCTCCAGGAACAACAAAAATCTTACCTGAGGAATCAAAGCAAACACAAAGATTTGCTGTTGCCGACCATGATGGTGTTCTGCATGTCTATGGTAATATGAAGGAATAGTATAGAAAGCATCACCATAATTATAAAATTAATAATAACATCAATAGGTACAAAGAAAGGAGAATTACAACTGTTGTTTAAGTCTTTGCCAGGACCCAAGATATCACGTCTGGTTCTTGGAGGAACTCTGGGCACACCAAAAGATAAAATATTTATTGCATATGCCAATTCCGTAAAGGGATTCACAAAAAAGGGAAAACTCTTTTTAGAGTTTGACACCAGCCTTATAGAACCGATATCTACCATGTATGTTCTTGGAGCAGATTTAGCAGCCTGTGCCAGAGACCTATATCACAGATATCGTGATTGTAAAGATGCTGACTCTTATCTGGCTGGAGAAATTTTATTGGATGTTATTCTTTTACCTGGTGAAGGCTCAAGTGTACATGCTATCCTGGCATGTGGAGATTGTGCTGTCCGTGTCCTTCATGGTACCAAAAATCCTACTGTACTAAGATTGCCTACTGTTCCCAGTGTACTTTCACCTTACAGGTAATTTTACTTCTAATAATTAATAAAACTTCATTCATAGATGATACATAGGTCTTATTACAGAGAGGGTGATATAGATGCAACAGACCGAGTTATACTGGGGACTGTTGATGGTAGAGTTGGATTATTGATACTACAAAAGGATAAGACTTTAAGAGTAACCTGGTTAATAGCATCCATAGGATCAGAGGTCACTTCTCTCGATACTTATGAACTTCGGGATGGATTGGACATTCTAATTGGTAGACAGAATGGTATTGTGGAAGTTTACACATTCCCAGACGATGAGGATATGACACCAAGCCTACGGTATCGACACGTAGGTACTAAAAAAATACTACAGTACACAAGAACACCATTCTTAAATAGTTATTCCCATTACACACTATCAGAACACTGGTGAGAGTATCAGTACTGTCTGTGGAGGAATAGTAGGTGCTTCAGGATATCCTGAGGTTCTTGTCACTACGTATTCAGGTCGAATATTTGGCCTTACCACAAGACCACCAGGTGCACTTGAAGCAGAACAGAACGATACTGGTCTCTCTAAATTAAAAGCTGAAATACAACAGTTGGAAGGGAAACTTGCTGAGGATAGAGATGCTGCTAATTTTACAGCTGATCCATTGGCACCTCTGATACTTTCTGTAAATCATAGGTAATTTATTAAGTATAAAATCTATTGTCAAATATATTTTTATAGCAGTAACGTTATGACAGATTGGTCCTGAATAGAGACGATGCGTCTTATTCTCTCTCTGTAGAATTGGATACAGCGATTGACAATATTCTTATACAATCCGATACTCCAATAGAATTATTAGATGTAGAGAGTAACAGTGCTGTAACCAGTTTATCTACTTGTGATCCGAAGGAAGGAAATTTCGTTTTGGCTACTTATCGCTGTCAGGTAAAATTAAATCTGTTTTAATTAATCAGTATCATCATCCTGAGCTTGAAGAGAATAATCATCTCAAAAATTCAGGCGAATACAAATCGTTTAGAATTAAGACTGAGGACTATCGAGGGTCAGCCAGGAACTTTGCAAGTCTATGTAATGTCTCAGGTAAATCTTTAAGATTATTTTTAAAAAACTTCTATTAACTTACGTTTAATTCTTATTTCAGATTCAGCCAAAATGCTGCCGCAAAATAGAAATTCCTATTTGTGCATTATCGTTACATACAAGAATACATGAAGATGATAAGTCAAGTATATCATCTGGACCATTTAATGAATTGAGACTAAATGGTGGCTTTACAGTTGCTGAGGTAAAGTATAATGAAAAGTATAAACGATTAATGTTCTAAAGTCAATGTATTCAAAGGACACTTTTATTACAAAATTGTAGATGCACGCTTGGCTCTCACTGGTTTTGCCAGACGTACCTGAGAGACCACAATTACAAGATGGTGAAGCCAATTTAATATTAAAATCTTCCTTTGTAGGCACAATTCTTAAATGCAAGTACAAGTAAGTTATCTAAAATTTGTTTTGATTGTCAATATGACCAAAAAGAATCAATATTATTTGCAGAAAGGGTAGCGCAACTTTCCTTGGTGAAAATGTATCTACTATTATAATCTTACGAGATGTCCTCACGAAGGAAGCAACTAAGAGGAAGATAAAGCTTGAAGTTTTCTGTGGTAAATACCTTAAATTATATTCCTTGTTCCTAGCATGTCCCGGGGAGTGGATATTTAAATCGTATAAAACATCTATATTTCCTTAGATGTCGTGGAAGTAAGTATATCCAGGGTATTGGAGCTGATTCTACCGAGGTTGGAAACGGCTCACAAGTTGAGAAAACAGATAAATATTTTAAACGCCCTCCAAGAGTGGGAACTCAAAACAAATCCCAAAGAGAATCTGTGCACTGAGTACCAGGAACTCCTGACGATCGAATCCACCGTCAGGAATCAGATGGCTAAGGATCCTGAAATATTACAAAGATTGCATGCAGTAGTAACGGATCTATACGTCGATTGGGAACGTGCAAAAGGTGGTCGTCGTATCAGCAGTCAATTGGCTACTGAAAAATTGAGTTCCGCCCTGGATTCTCGAGATCTGACACTTCTTTTGCAAGTGTTTGTTGCGAGAAAAAGTTTAAATCTTCCTGGACCAAGTACCGCGACAAAATTAGACGAATAAATAAAAGCAGGATGAAAAACGAGATATAATTTAAGAAAAATATCCGGCCGTCGATGTTTGTATAAACGTATTCATGTAAAAAATATATTTTCAACGTTGATCCGCGATATAAACAACTTAATTATTTATGTTTAAAAACGTACATACACAATGGCATGACTACTATTACTTACAGCATATATTGGTAATATAGGATTTTTGCGGCTTGCACTACGTTACATCTCGGTCGACTGTATTCCAATTTCCAAGTGTACATACGTATGTACTTGAATATTTTCATTAATCGATCACGATCTAGCTGTTTTCAAAGCAGTTTAATTCAGGAACCAAGTACAGATAAAGGACTACTCAATATTGAGTATGATTGGTAAATTGGAACACAGCTTCAGTTGGAAATTATAAAAAGATAATTTTAATTAATAGGTAACCATTCCCAGGCTACCTGGAAGCCACAATCACAAATAACTTGTGTTGTGCTGACCGAGATCACTTGAGGGCTTTACGCAGAGTATGTAGACGATAATATTTATCATACCGTCGTTCAGTCAGTCCATTCTGTTACAACTCTTTAAGTTCTACGAGGAGTTTTCTTCATGTACGGATTCAAGTTCCTTGGTATTATGAAAACCTCGTACGATTGGTACATTGCTGTTACCACGATCATTTGGTTTCAACTATGGACTCAAATTATATAAAGAAGTACTGCCTGTAACGAAATGCCACAACATTCTTTAATCAAATCAAATTTCAGCAAGAGTTTTCAGTATTAAGAAAAGAAATAATACATACAGGTTATCCGTTGTCCTAACAACTGCTTCCAGTGGATCTCTGTCTGATCCATTATCTGTGCTAGTTGCTACAGTATACTCCAAAGTCTGTCCCCCTTCATGCGGTAAGATACTCTCAGGATTATCTTCAGGAGGCCCGATCTCTACTACTCCACCAGGTTCAACCTCAAGTTTTAAATCCTGCACTATACTGCTTTGAATGGTTCTTGCTTGAGAATTCTTGTCACTCTCTTCATTCAAACTCTTTCCTGCCACAATTCTGTTCGGAGGACGTGCTGGTCTTCCGCGAGAATGAGTATGCATATGTCTTTTCATATCACTCCGCACTCTAAATGGTTTTCCGCATACGGTACAAGGATGCGGTTTTTCTCCAGTGTGTATTCTTCGATGATTTTGAAGGTAGCTACTCGCTCGGAAAGTTTTGTGACAAAATTCGCAACGATAATTTTTCTCACCGGTATGAATTCTTCTATGGACGATCAGGGAATATTTTCGTGCAAAATCTTTGCCACAGTACTCGCACTGGAACTGCTTTTGTTCTGAATGGATACTAGTTGAATGATATTTCAAATCACCCCATTGTCTAAAGTGTCTTCCGCAATCTTCGCATTTATATGGTTTATCGCCACTGTGAAGACGTTTATGAACCTGAAAAATATTTTCTATTTTTATTAGCAGTATTGAAAAAGAAATATTTGAAAATATAAAAAACTATTCATGTATACCTTTAGTGCACTAGCAGCGAAGAAACTCTTACCGCAAACTTCACACTGATGTGGTCTTTCTCCACTGTGGGATCTCATATGATAAACTAAACTATTTTTATGATTGAAAGATCGTCCACATTGGGGACAAACGAGTTCATCGTCTAAAAAACAGGTAAGACTTAGGCGTTTTTATATCTAGAAATATATTCAACTGTTTAGAGAATGCGTACTGTTCTTGCGACTTTTTTGCAACTTCTTTTTCTTTGCCGTTTCTGGAATATCAGTCTCTTCTTTCTCTTGTAAGTCATCCTCATTTATGGTTGTAGCTTGGATCTCTTCTTGTTCGGTGTGCTTTGAAACATCTGCTATTGCCCACAACGGAGGTCCATTGTTTACATCAACCAACGGAGTTTCAATATCCTCATCTATGTGGGCTCCAATTTCTTCAACTATATGGTACAGAAAGCTCAGTATGCCTATATATTTATTGGCTGTAGAACTGATACCTGTAGTTTTATATGTGTACTTACCCACTCCTCTGATTCCTTCCATAAGATCTTCGGGTTCATCGAATTCCTCAATTACGCTATTGTCTAAGCCTTGTACAGATTCAGTGACAGACATAGTGATACTTGTGTTTGTTGCTTGGGCTATTCTGGCTTCTTGTTTGACTGGTTCGTAATGAGCCTATTGAAACATAAGTAATAAATATAATTAACAGTTGTAAAAAGTATATCTTGTTTAAACGAGGTTTCGTTGAATTAACTATACCTTAAGGTGCTCGAAGAATTTGAGCTGTCCACTGAATCTACTTCCACACAGTTCACATCTGTATGCATGAACTTGAACTTCTGTAGTGGTTTCTACTGATATATCTTGATTTAATCTTGCATTATCTCTCCTTGTTGGATTCTTTTTTGATTGTTGCTTGAGCTTTCTAGGAATTCTTTTCTTGTGGGGTAATGATCTCTTAGGTCCTGGAGTTGGTGCAGCATCCTCACTACTTTCTGCAGAAACATCAACGTCATATTCGCTTTTAATGTTGATGAACTCCTGCTTGACGTTTTGTGAAATTCTCTTCAAGGGCTGTAACGTGGGATAAACCGAAGGAGGATCAGGATCAGGCATGGATTGAATAGTGTAGGCATTAACAGGAGATAGGGGTTCTAAATGACTGACATCAGGTAAAGTAGGATCTTCATGTTGTTGCTGGCTGTGCAGCTGTTGCTGCTTCTGTTGCTGTTGCAACTGAACTGCGACAAGTGCTGCTGCCAATCTTCGATCATCCTGTACAAAAATTTATAAGTAATTCCCTAAATAGAAAGTCTTATTTAAGGAAGCAAGCTGCAGGATTCTTGCCTCGGTCAATTCATGAGGTAGCAAGTCTTCTTCTGTTTCATAGTACTGAGTAGTTGTGGTATATTCAGATCCTACTCCAGCATTGATCATATCTACAACCATTCCTTCAGGGATCAATTCACCATTCAGTGCAAGAAGTGGTACTCCTTTTCCAAGTGATTCACCATCCTGTCTTTGGATGGTAATGTACTGTGTACCTTCCATTCTTTCCAGTAGGACGGCTTGTGCAGCATCTTCTGTAGTTACTTCCATCACTGTATCTTCAAAAGTCTTATAAAAGATCAAGAACTTTAAAAGAAAAGTTCCATATACAGTTTCCCGTGTAAGAGCAGTATGGATTGGAATAAATGAATGTCTCCTTTAAAAATAAGGTATCTCCACCTACCAGGAAGCAAGTGCAGTGTTTAAACTTGGCGCTATGGGATCCTGAAGAGATGACAGCGAATCCAAGGTCACTGCTCCCGGGGCTCCAGGAAAATTTTTACTCTACCCCGTATCGACACCTGACTAAAAAATTGAGCCGGCCTTACCTTCCCCTGCCGATCCTCGTATTCCAGGGCGAATCTCTCGGCTTTCCCTGGGGAAAACTTGGCCGACATAAACAAAGCAAGATATTGAAACACTGTAGGCCAAAATGTGACAACAGTGCGTGGCCCTTGACGCCATTAGACCGGATGTTCCCTACTATTCCCTACCTACGCCATTCTCAAAAATTCTCAAAGAACCACTTCAAGAGCATAAAATTCTCTAGCACATTTTCTTCATAAATTCACTCTTCTTTCTAGCCCCTTTAACATATATCTAGAGTTCTTGCCCTAAAATATCTTATTAAAACAGCTTCATATAAATCATTTAAACCATTTTGTTTTTTCTATAGATTTACTCTAATTTATCTTAATTTTAAAATTCACATGATTCCTCGTCAATTCACACACCTTTGGCTTATTTGGATATGAAGATTATTATGACTACATTTTGGCTTTCCTTTGTTTTATTCATACTTACTAGGAATTTTGGGAGGATATAATTTTCCAATGCTGTTATACGTCACTTCCCTCTCAAAGGAATTCCCTAAACTTATAATTACTCTAGATCTTGAAATATCAAAATAATTATTTAAAACAGAGAAGTATTCGATTTTAGTTGTGTATTTGTATTGTGTAAATACTTCCTTTGCAATAGGATCATTTAATAATTTTGTGAGAAGCTACTAAGAGATAGACCTTTGGGGAAAACAGATCTAATTTCTAAAAGAACCTACTGTCTTTGTACTGTCATTGTCAGCTGATTCATAATGTACTGTCATAGTCCGTTCACTTAAATCCTCCACCATTTAATATTGTAACATTGCACTGATATGGTGAATTATATAAACAGGGATTGTGAGACAAATATACTGTCGAGTGCAAATAAGAAAACTTAACTGGACTATTGCAATCATATTGCACATCTTTGGTAACAGCTATAGAATCAATCATTTTTTTCTGCCTGACATAAGTTATAAATATATTTTAAAAAATATTTTAGCCTCCGGTAATTACCGTAGAGAATTATGTGACATTATCAAGTAGTCTAAAAGAAGAAATGGCTTCTCTTTGTGGACGTTGGAGATTGTGGATTTTACCAGTGCTTACAGGCCTTTATGCCTTATTAATCATTATCTTGGTACCAATTTTATTGGCCAATTCAATAAAAAATGGATTTAAGAAGCAGGATCAAGGAGCTCTTGTTGGAGGAGCATTTGTATTATTGGCATTGCCAATTGCATTTTATGAGATTGTTCAGCACATGATACACTATACTCAGCCAAGGCTCCAGAAATATATAATAAGGTATGTATGTAAAATCATAAATCTTAATATTATTTTATATTATTTATTAAATATACAATCATTCCTCTATAATTTTTTTGTTTTCAGAATTCTATGGATGGTACCAATCTATGCTGTAAATGCTGTAAGTATAATATATAAATACACAGTGCATGCAAATATCATATCAAATGGAATACAACATGAGAATTGTAACTATATTTGATGCAGTGGCTTGGTTTGGTATATCCTGAAGGCAGTATATATGTAGACAGTCTAAGAGAATGTTACGAGGCCTATGTTATCTACAATTTTATGATGTACCTCTTGGCTTATTTGGATGCCGATAATCACCTTGAACATCGTTTGGAGCTTTCACCTCAAGTACATCACATGTTCCCCCTGTGTTGTTTGCCAGACTGGGAGATGGGACGTGAATTTGTACATATGTGTAAACATGGAATTCTTCAGTATACTGCGGTCAGACCAATATCAACTTTAATTTCCTTGTATGTATTATAGTACCCTGGGTTATGGGGACTTTAATTTATTAATGAAATTACTTGTTACAGTATTTGTGAACTTAATGGAGTTTACGGTGAAGGAGAATTTAGAGGAGACATTGCTTTCCCATATATGATTGCTTTTAATAATTTGTCACAGTTTGTAGCAATGTATTGCCTGGTATTGTTTTATCGAGCTAATGCTGCAGCTCTAGAACCCATGAAACCTGTTGGGAAATTCCTATGCATCAAGGCTGTTGTTTTTTTTTCATTTTTGTAAGTTATTTTATATCAGTTCATTTTAATTTAATTTATTGCAATAATTAAGTAATTCTACTTTACTTTCAGTCAGGGTGTAATAATAGCAATGCTAGTATACTTCGATGTGATATCAAGTATCTTTGATACAGACAATACAGATGACATAAGAAATATCTCTTCGAAACTGCAGGATTTTCTTATTTGTATAGAAATGTTTCTTGCGGCTGTTGCTCATCATTACAGTTTTAGCTATAAGCCCTATGTTAATCTGGCACAAAATCAAGCCTGGTGGGATGCATTTAGGTAAAATTAAGTTATCCTACTTTTCATTCAAAATGAAACATCCATTGTAATATCTCTCCTAATTCTCTTTTGTGTTCTAAGAGCAATGTGGGATGTCTCCGATGTGCACAATGATATGAAGGAACATCTGGGAGTTGTAGGATCTTCTTTGAGCCGTAGAATTCGAGGCCGTAGTGGCTATCAGCAGTCCTGGGGTAGTGCTACGGAACGTACATCCCTTCTATCAGAGGCACCATTGACAACAGCCAAAAGTGCACCAGCCTGCTCCTTTTTAGGATACAATACAGCTGATAGTGGACAAATTTTAAATTCTATAGACGATTCTAGAGGATTTGTAGATCTCAGTCCAGACATGCAGGATAATAATCATAACATCAATACGTAACCCACTCTATCCTTTCCAATCGCAGGATATGGTGTATTATCTTAAGAACTTCAAGGATTCGTTAGAATCTCCACTCACAATGATATTTTATTCATAACATCCTTAGTGTTTTATCCCAAAGAGGCAAATTTGACACACCACAAATATTGTATAACATAATTCATCCCTCCAGCTGTGTCACTGTGATATTCCATAAATATGTTTTTGCCTACTATTTTCACTCTACAGGTATCAATACGTCACAAGATACCAGTGATGTACTACCAAAAATTGTACATACGCAATATTTATACAGAAAATACTCTAATAAAATATTTGTATAACGTACATCTAATTACTTACACCCACGAAGAGTGTTTACCTTTGGAGCATTAACTGCGTTTACCATTTACATTTTTACCGAGCATTCAATATGGTTCCTCAACTGACATCAGATGGATCATGGATGAATAATATTTGGCGGGAAAGCACCTGTGTAGTAATCAAGAGACGTAGAAAGTCATATTACTGTCATAGTAAATGATGGACACGTCTAACGGGTATCGTGGTCCTGAGGAAGCTGGAAAGTCGAAGAAACATGAGGAGCATCAATATTTGGAATTAATTGAGCGTGTTATTAAACATGGTAACAAAAAAAATGATCGTACGGGTGTTGGTACTTATTCAATTTTTGGAGCCCAGATGAGATTTGGACTCAGGGATGGTGAGTGGAATGATATGAGGGTATAATTCAGTTTTATATAAAATTTTTATTTTATTAGGAGTATTTCCATTGTTGACGACAAAGCGTGTCTTTTGGAGAGGGGTTGTGGAGGAATTATTATGGTTTATCAGAGGATCGACTAATGCTAAAGAACTGTCAAGTAAAGGTGTTCATATTTGGGATGCAAATAGTTCACGTGAATTTCTAAATTCCTGTGGCTATGATGACAGGGAGGAAGGTGATCTCGGTCCTGTTTATGGATTTCAATGGCGAAATTTTGGTGCACAGTATATCGATATGAACACTGATTATTCAGGGCAAGGTAGAGATGGATGTAGCGATAGATATATAATGATAATAAATGGATGATTCCTTGTGGTACATAGGTATCGATCAGTTGATGGATGTCATTCAAAAGTTAAAGAATTCTCCAGATGACAGAAGGATTTTAATGTCTGCATGGAATCCAATAGATATTCCAAAAATGGCACTGCCTCCATGTCACTGTCTCGTACAATTTTACGTTAGTAATGGAGAATTGTCGTGTCAACTCTATCAAAGAAGTGCTGATATGGGACTAGGAGTGCCATTTAATATTGCTTCGTACTCTTTGCTTACTTATATGCTGGCACATGTCACTGGTTTGAAGGTAACATTACAATAAGTACTGTTAATGTATCTTTTTCATATAAAACAATTATTTCCAGCCTGGTGAATTTGTACATACCATGGGTGACTGTCATGTGTACATAAATCATGTCTCTGCTCTTGAGGAACAATTGAAACGTGAGCCAAAGCCATTTCCAAGTTTGAATATTCGTCGAAAGGTTTCCGATATCGATGATTTCACAGCAGATGACTTTGATTTAATTGGATATGACCCACATCCAAAGATCTCAATGCCCATGGCAGTGTAATTATAGAGTATATATATATATATATATAGTATAGAAATGCAGTGTTAAAAACTAGAGTTTTTAGCAATAACTATATTTTATTTTCTAATAAAAATTATATTCTCAATAAACTCATATCTTAATATTTATGTTTTTATCTTTTTTGACTTCTTCAATATAATCCGAGGACACAGTTCATTCAAGTCGGTTACGATTTACGACTGAGCGCGCAAAAGTTACAAAGCAGTTTGTTTATTCTTTGTACTACTTTAAGGTCAACAAAGAGAATTCGCAATACATAACCGAGTGGTATGAACAACCTTAAAAGACCTTACCATAGACAGCTTCCTTGTAAATATTCAAATGAACAATTAATTCCAGAAGGATTTAATGTTGCATTTGTATAGATGTTGGAAGCTCTACTGGACTCGTTAAAATGAGCTTTCTCAATATCATTTTTAATAGGTACTCATTCCTAGTGAGAACTTATTAGAAAGAGGGACAATGTATTCTTAATTATAATCATTTTCAAGATATTCCCTTTCTTTTTGCAACTCAACCATTAATGGATAAAGAGCGAAGTAAGTGAGACTATCTGGAAAATTGTTTAAAGGAAACCCTCTGATGACAAAGACAAGGGCTAGCACATTTGGACGTCATTAGATTGTGAAGTACTTAATTGATGAAGTTGTTGGGTAACAGCCAAAGTACCTGTTTCGCTAACTGTTATTATCACCCAAATAATGTCTGAAATAAAAATATTACTATAAGAAATTGTAAGGAGGCTAAAATAGGTCTTCATACCTCCAAAGTAGGAACCATTGGTTGTAGTCATCCTCCACTTGCTTTGAAAGACTCCAAATTCAGCAGGACTCGTTAATTCCACTCCAATTTCCGTATTATCTTTAGGTGCTAAAGAAGGCACAGCCACCCTCGTCCAATCTCCCATCTGTACTCCTCCTGTGTGTTGTAAGTATATTCCCTCAGGCCATGCCTCGGTGCCACTGTTCTGCACCTTCCAAGACTTGCGAAATTTAGTATTGGGTGGAATAGATTCTCCTTCGCCAATTGTTGAATCGCAGAGCAGAGTCATGCAGGGTAATTTAAATGGTGACTCAAAATCAAAATAGCTACATATCGCTGCTTGAAGATTCCTATTGTAAGAAAAAAAACTAATGTGTACAAGATATCTCTTCTATATATTTATCACTAAATATTTATACAAGATGCAAATGACGTCAAATCAATGAACTATAAGAAGTTATCAATAATAAGATGGAGCAAAAGTAAGTTATAAAAACCATAGTCTCTTCATAAACATGGCAATCTAAAGACAGGGTTATGTCCGCCATAAAACAGCTAAGCAATCTTGAAGACTAGACTGTATAAACACGTTTTAAGATATATAAATCTTCACCAGTTGTTCATGTCGAGAAAGAACGTAGCAGTCGCTTCATTAAGATGACTGCCGGCTAGTAATTTTTGAAGCTGCTTCACCAGGTCGTCTTTGTCTGTAGTACCCAGGCAGCTGAATTGATGCAGCAAATGTTGATCGAATTCGTTATCCACGTCCATAATTTCTTCAACAAAATGTCTCAATGATCCATGTAAACCCCAGATAATACTCCAATTAGCAATACCTCTGCCTCCAAGAGTCTCAATCTGCGTCGACAAATCTTTAACCACAAATTTTAAATGTCATTCTTCGAGCGAGTGTGACGTTCGGTCGTATGCAGGGGTGCATGCAGTCCAGGTACACTCAGTGCCATTAAACAAGTAAAACGAACGAATGCATTTGGAGTACAGTCCGCGAAAAAATCTCAACAACCTTATACTTACACTATATAAAATTCCATTAAGCTATGTAATATATCTCAGAAATTTAAGGAAACTGTAAAAGTTTAAATAGATTCACTGCGCAAAAGTATTAATATTTCAATCTACGTGTACAAGAGTGTGCAAATATCAAGATATGAAATGCGCCTGTTTCAATGACAACCCTTTATACAATTAAGTATTACGGGTTTGCATTCATCAGGCGCCTACAAATTAGTTCTCTCTACGATCTTCGTTATCTGTTAGTACTAAACATGATTTATTTCTAGAAGAACGGCATCCTTCAATTTATTATTATAAATATAATTCTCTTCAATGGCATGCTGTGCATTGGGAATTTTATTTTAATTATTTTCTGAACCTCTGAAATGGAGCTGCGTCTTCTTGAAGTATTTATGGCGCATGTGCAATAACGACAGATGCGCGCGCACTGCACCGCGAGACAAGTGAAATACGAAACAAACGCTAGTCGTGCACGAACTCGATGATGCAGATGCTCCGATAGCGTTGATGCCACCGAGAAATCGAGAGTGCTGATTATTTTTCTGTTCTATCAATAATTTCAAAAGCGTTTCGGACCTCGTGCCGGATACTCGGTTATCAGCGATAGAAAAACGTGGGAAGAAATGAAGATCGATATCGGGAATTTTGCGGTTTAGCCTGAAGATCCGTTTAACAAAAATTTGATTAACATACGAGGCGGTCGGCTCGTCTGGAATATGAGGAACAGTTTTAATTAAAATCATCTGAACTTTGAGTGTTCATTATTAATTACCAGTGAAAGAATTTTTTTGGTGGATCTTCAGCGAATTGGATACAGGTAACATATTATACATTTTGTACAACTATTGATTTGGGTCTAATATTGAGTACTGAAAGAATGGTCGTAGATAATTTCAAGATTATAATTTGGCTATATTTTCGTTTTGCAATGTAGTCAGTGCATGATGATCGGTCCGTCATCGGGCACGAGTAATGTGCCTAACCGAGAAGCTTCAGAGAGTTCAGTGCGCGTCAAGAGGAAGGTTTTTGACGACCTGGACATTGAGAGCTTCTGCGAGGAAGTTTGTCAAAGTGGAAAGAAACGATACTTGACGGAATTGCAAGCATCTGCTGAAGGAGATACGACAATGAATTCAAATTTCTTGGCGTTATCCGGCCAGGAAGCAAGCACTGCGGGATCGGTGGCGAGATTGGAAGTTCTGGTGGTCGATGGTACCTGGGATACGACGAATCTGGGTACAAATTTGACGGACTTGACATCTGTAGGACATGATACCAACGTCTCGACCTTGGCCGATATTCAATCTATAGAGAATTACGGCACGATACCGTACTGGGAATCACCAGGGGATATTTCCACTTCGGGAGTACCAGCTACTCCGGGAAATACGGCAACCAATGTCCTGGTACCTCCTAGTATGCCAGTAGAGGATCAGGAAAATGGGAATCTATCTTGGCTTTTGGATTTCAAATTAGATTCGTTTATTGAAGCTCCCGAAGAGAAGTCCTGCGAACCGGGACCGCGTGAAAGTCCATCTGGTAAAGCACCAGGAGTAGCATATCCCAGAAGAAATGGTAATAAATTGTTTTTTTTTCCTTTTTTTAGGTAACAGGAATAGATTTCATTCTCAGAGCCGTGTTAATGGCTCCGTTTCTTACACTAATGAAATGAAGAGGCCTTATAATCATGACGGTCCAGGAACATCTTCGTTACACCAAAATCTGAGCAATGGCTACACCGTGACTGATAATCGTAACATATCTGCCAGTCGATACAACGGTCCAAAAAAGCCACCGTTTACGTATACAGAACTGATAGAGCATGCACTTCAGGAAAGAGGAGAATTAACAGTATCTGCAATTTACCAATGGATCTCGTGAGTCTGAAAGAAATTATATAAAATAAATTTTATCATTTGTTTAAACGTTTTTTTTTTATTGGGTTTTCTCGAAAAAGAAATATCTATGTATCACGCAATCGTCTGTGCAATATCTTTTCTTGACATCGAATCGAATAAGTCATCCTAAACGCAGTAAAAATGGAGACAGGGTGTCTAGAGGGTTGTTACCTCTAGGGGTGGAACAGGAGAGGTTTCTAGATGGTACTCATTGGTACCAGTAGTCCCCCTATGCTTGGTACAACCTGGTACCGCGTCCGCACCCTCCAAACATCTACTATTGCTCAACACGAACCCCCTGCTTCCTTCCTTTCTTGCTCCATCCCCATTTCGTGCTTTCACCTGTTCGATCGCAACCCCTTCGGAAGAATATAGTTCATTCACCAAAATCTGGTGTATGTATACCTTTTCCAAGCACTATGCTATTTCTCATCATAGAATAGTAAAATTATTTACGGAATCACGTAAAATTTGTTCCTTGTCTTTAGTATGTCACTGGGTAAGAGGTTTTTGACGATGGTTGTTAGCGTTTGTAAAAAAAGTTCTCTCTAATTGGCAATAAGCTTGAAACAAGAGGCTCTTCAACGAAATATCAAACACTAGTGTATGATAACGTTTAAAACTTGAGTTTATCAGCTTTTGGAACGATTATTTTTCTATCTTGCGACAGATGGCTTGGATCACCTGCCAGCCTCCCCTCGAGCGATAATTGATTACAGTTTTTGGGGGAATATTTGGCTTGTTCGGAATATCGTGGCAGCTACTGCCGGCCTCGACTTAGGATTAGCTTAGCTAGAACATTCAGTTCAGTTTCCCTTTGGAACTCCATTTAAATAGATATTTATTTTCTTTCCATTGCTATATATTTTTCTTCAATTTAAGAGGGGGTAGTATTAACCTGACCCCTGAACCCCTGCTCAACGTACCGTGTAAACGCACCGTTCACCAGGCACCAGGCACCGGCCACCTTCCTGATGACTCTGCACGGCACTTGGAATTAACATTAGGGTGGCTAACGCGCCGTGACGTCGCGGTGGCCAGGTGAAGGAAATTACAATTCTAAGGGATGTAGCAGACAACTCCGACTCCTCCCGGAGGTTGAGGGTTGAATTTAGTCTCGATTATAATCGACGAGGAGAACCGCTGGAGGAGAATCGCTCCGGGAAGGGTGCTCGATGGTGCTAGGATGTGCCTGTCTCTATTGACTTTTTGGGGAATTTCCTATGATTCGATCTATCTCGTATCTTCTGTCTCTAATTCACCAGCCCCTTTGTTGCCTCGTGTACTATATCTGATTGACCTGTCATGCATGTCACTCAGGATGTCAAAGTTATTATCCGTTCACAGGGAACATTTTCCATACTACAAGAGCAACGATGATCGCTGGAAGAATTCTGTGCGGCATAATCTTTCCATTAATCCACATTTTCGCAAAGGATCTAAAGCACCACATGGTGCTGGACATCTTTGGGCCATTGCAAATCGTGGTGACTCCAGACCTCGACAGATTACACCTGGTATAAGCTCTGGAGCAACTGCTAGACAGATTGTAAAGAATGTACAGGATTCTGTGTATCGAAAGAATGCTAACAATGCTAGGTATGTTAAAGACTTTAAATAATTTACATGGATACCATTTAATCTTGAATATACTCTTCCTTGTTGTAGTCAAATAATCAGTATGGATGAAGTAGCAGCAGCTACAGCCAGCATTCAACAACCAGAAGATACTAATAGTATCGTAAATTCAGTAACCTTGGAACACTGCGCGGAACAAATCCTTAGTGGCATAAAGCGTGAGGTAGAAGTTCAATATCTGGTTCCTATGGCGGTTCCTAATAATGGAGAACATCAGGATCCTGGTCAGGAAAGTCAGCAAAGCTGCCAAACGGTTAAAGAAACTGGTGAGTTAATGTTTCAGTCAATTTAAAAAAAGAGGATTGTTCACTTAATGTTATTCTTTTTCAGATTTTTTGAATCCAGTTTCCAAGGAGGTCGTCGCCGAGGAGTGTGGTCTTATAGGGGAGGGTTATCTAGTCACGGATCTTAATCCTACAGCCTTGGGTCTTAATATGGTCGAGCCAGAAATCATTTCGCCGGAAAATCTTTTTGGGGAGGAATTGAGCTTTCAGTTTTACGAATTGACGTCGCCGTCGCAACTCCAGTCCGCTTGACACACGGAGAAGAGTAAGATTCGGTTGATCTTTATAGACCAGTCAAAGTTCCAGAACGTTCAGATAGTCGATAATAACGTGCCAGTTAACACGGGACAAGCCAATGAGGTCACGAATGATCTGATGTGCAATGGGAATGGCAAAGTCATTAGCGAATTGACATCTCGTAGAAAAGAGTCATTGATTAACGACGATGAGAAAAATTATAACGAGGATACGGTCAATTGTAAAGTTCATAGCTGATCGTATTTACGATGACGGAACTTTTCTTCTAATTTTATTTTTTATTTATTTTTTTCTCTATGCAATTGCCATTTCTTTAACCCATTTTGGCCCGTCCCATAAAGTAGCAAGAGGATCACTTAAATTCATATTACATATGACGATTGGTCTTAAGAATATTTAAGGCTGTACTTTAATACCATTTCCAACTGGATGCATGGAACGAGAATAATGGCTGGATGTGTCTGAGAGGCATCATTTATTACTAATTATTACTATCATTTCTCCTAGTCCTTATAAACTGTGTGTAATGTTTTTGTATTAGCAAAGGAAATATAATATTTACAATTTCGCAGATGATTCACGTATTGTTTTTCATAGTTGGAAGATTATTTTATGTGCTTATACTTATGACTTTTTTACAGCAGACTTTTGAATAAATAAAAGATCTCATTGAAGACTCTATTTAATAAAAAGGTTTTGTACAGCTTTTACAGTATCTTTATAATATCTGATTTAAGAACTATTTACCATTATTCTGCCAGTTTAGGAGTCTCTGAAGGTGTGACAGACTCTTGAACTTTCTTTTGATCAGCATTAGGCCCTTTAGTATTGTCAGCCATGAGCTTGGCCATATATTTGGCTGCTCGTTCTTTCTTTTTAATGTCTTTTTGTTTCTTCTTATCTTCCTTCTCCTTCTTTTCTAACATTTCCTTGAATCTTACATCTCGTGGATCTATCTTGAATCCAAAGTGCCTGCGCACCTCTTCAATCAAGCGTTCCTTACGTTCTTTGGCCATAAGAGCATCAGCTTCTTTCTTTGCTAACTTATTTTTCAGTTCCGCTGTCCAGTCCTTCAACTTTGACAATTTCTTAGCAATATCTTGCTCCCTGAATAAACAAACATGCTCTAAAGTATCTGTTATAAAGGATAGGGAAAAGATAATTACCTAAGTTTTATAGCCTCAGCTTCTTTCTTGTGTTTCTCAGCAATGGTTTTCCATGTTTCTTGAATAGTTTCTGGATAAGCAACTCTTTCATATTCTTTCAGAACATACAGTTCGTTTGGTGTTGGCCATGCTACTCCTGCTGTGGTGTCTATGTTCTCCAAACCGTACCTGCCAAGCAATCTTCGCTTGTATTTCAATCTATCATGATACCAGTCTGTGATATCATGAGAGGGAGGTTTATCAAAAAGCATATTTCTATGCCCAGATTGAAGACGAGATTTGTTCCTCTTCCTCTCGACTTCTTCATTTATCTTCTCATCCTCATCATAAATAGGTTTCTCGTCCAAAGAGGTTAAGTCAATAACCTGACCATCATTCTCTTTAGCAGCTGTGGCAAAGAATCTTGTGGTTAAAGTACTCTGTACACGTAGTCTAACACTATCGTTTCTATAACAGAGCGCTCGTAAACTCATTTTTTCGTTTTGTATATGTTACGAAAATATCAATAAAATTAACCAACAAATAGTGGAAACGCCGATCCCTTCTACGGATACGAGTGTACCCAGCTGTTCCTGGTGTAGCTACGTAGGCTACAATAATCAAATTCTATCACCAGGGAAACGTTTTAAAAACATTCATTTCTTTCGTTTTCTTGGCTTCTAACATGCACCAAACACTTTTTGGCAGAATTTTCTAAATTACTCCGGTTTTCATTGTTAAAGTTTCGCTAAATTTATTCTAGAAATAGAAAATATACTTTATATATTTTGATGTATTTAAATCCCTTTAAATACCCGACTTGCATTTCTTCAAGCAGTCAAGCAAACATACAGAAAAAAAAGAGGAAAACGCAGGTAAGGTAAATAACATTTTTCCTCGGTGAACTCGCTTATAAATAAACATTGAGCCGCATGGTAAGTCAGTCGCTTAATAATTTTACACTGAGTAACATGTACATATATAATATTCCGTATAGTTCTAGCGTAATGTTTCCTTTAATCTCAATGGATTGTCGTTTGCAATTCAAAATTCATCTTTCGCACATTGTCTAATCTGTTGAGTGAAGTGTGAACTAGAAATGGTACGCCGTATACGATGATTGTCCTAAAGTTTTGTAAATTTAATTTAACAGTTATACAATGACTCTTGCACAAAGTAGTATTCGCTAGAGTGTTAAAGTCTTCCTATTAATTTAAAACATATAATTAACATTTACATAGTGTAATATCATACAAATTCTTAATTGTACCGTGTACCATTGTTGGTTATTTTAAATCCATACGTAGAGCTTGAGATGATCTCTATAAGCTACAGTTTCAAGCAATTCGAGTGGGTCGAGTTCTCTCCGTGCTCGAAAACCGGTGCTCGCCGTCACTTTCCTCGTGAAAAATCACGACTCTGATGTTGCAGACTTTGCTTACGAAGAGACATTTAACGCGCAAAAAGTGGTGAGAATAAGAACAAGGGTGTAACAACTGAAAATGGGTAAAGCGAAGAAAGGAAAGCGATCCGGCAAGGATGAGGAAATGTGAGTTTATTTTCAGACATATTGGAATACTTTCATGCCTTGCCCTTTTATAGGAGTTTTCTCTATTTGTTTTATATGTAAAACGTGTCTGTCACTATGAGATATGTTAACCTTGAGCACTCTCGAAATTGTTCTCGTGCGAGCCAGACATTCTTGCTAACGATGATGCAATCCTCGCCATCTGGCACACGTAGGTTATGAGAGAGGATTGTAACACATTTGAATATATGTATTTTATGTCTCAGGGATAGTGATGTTGAGGTAGATGATCAAGCTGTAGAGGAGCCTGTTAAGCCTAAGGGCAAGACGAAGGACAAGAAGAAGAAAAAGGCTGATGATTTAGATGATGTTGCAAATGATGTGGAGCAACTTAACTTGGAATCCGATGAGCCTGTCAAGCCCAAGGCTAAGACGAAAGATAAGAAGAAAAAGAAGGTCGATGATTTAGATGATATGGGGGACGAGTTTGATGAGTTTAATCTGGATACTCCAAAAGTCTCTAAAGCAACTAAAGCGAAATCTAGTAATAAGAAACGTATGTTACTCATTTCATCTTTTGTTGATTGTACATTTTACCTTTTGAAGGTTGAAATCAATTTTAACGTTGTATTATTTACAGCAAAGGCTAGTTTTGCCCTACTAGAGGTCGAAGATGACAACGATGATGATGAAGAACAGCCTCCTGAGAGTAATGATGAATCGGAAAAAGCTGAGAGTATTGAAAGGTCTAAACCACAGCAGCAGAAGGCTCATGAGCCTCAAGGGAAAAAGGGAAAGAAAGGTAGGACAATTTTACAGATATGTAATACGTTAGCGAACAATAGAGGATTTATATATTATGTTTACAGGTAGGAAAAAACGGAATGACAGTGATGAGGATATAGAGAAGGTATTAGCTGAACTAGAGATGGAATACTCTGGTCAAAAGATAGAAATTAAGGAGGAACCAAACGAGGCAGAAGACGATGGAGAAAAGAAAAAGAAAAAGAAGGGCAAGGAAAAGGAGAAAGTCGAACCAAAGGAAGGTGATGAGGATGAAGCAGAGCAAGAAGGTAGCACTGTAAAAACAGCAGCACAAAAGAAGAAAGAGAAAAAGGAACGCGAGAAGCAGAAAAAATTAGCTCAAAAGAAAGCGGTAAGTGTAAAAGTTTTATATCTGTATCCAGTTTTCTTATCAAATTATTCCTTATTAGGAGGTTTCCAAGAATGATAAAGAAGGTGAACCACCCAAGGAACCACCAGCCCAGAAACCTGTAGAGAAATTAGTGGAACCCGTAGCAACCGCAGACAAAGCGGCGAACGGTGAGCTCGATGCTGAAGATGGTGAAGGCAAAGATGACAAGAAGAAGAAGAAAAAGGGCGCTAAAGAGGATATTAAAGAAAAAGGAAAAGGACCAGGAAAGAAGACAATAGCGGCGATGCAAGAGGCCTTGAAAAAGCTTAAGGAGGATGAAGAGCGTTTGAAGCGCGAAGAAGAAGAACGTATCCGGCAAGAGGAATTGCGTGAGAAGGCGCGACTAGAGCAACTTCAACTGGAACAGGAAAGAAAGGAAAGGAAGAAGTTGAAAGAGAAGCAGAGAAAGGAGAGATTGAAAGCAGAAGGAAAACTTCTGACCACAAAACAGAAACAAGATCGTGCGAGGGCGCAGGCGATGATTGATGCCCTAAAAGCTCAAGGAATGGAACTTCCCGACGTAGGTGAGAAGAAGCCTCGTCCAGGAACACGAGTTAGACCTAATAAGGTGAAGCAGCAAATCAGTACAGAGGAAAGAGATGAGAAAAAGTCTGAGGGAGACTCGAAACAAGGTGACCAAGTTCACGTGGAAATCGTTGATCAGCAATCGAAGGAAGAGGAAAGAAAGAAGGAAGAGGAAGTTAAGGATTCCTGGGATGCGGAATCCAGCGATGAAGAACCAGACGAAGACAAGTCTGACGAGGCTTCCAAGAAATCTCAAGCAGTCCAGAAACAGGGGCAAACTGTCAAGGAGGAATCCTCAGAAAGTGAGTCAGAGACTGAGAGCGGAAGCGAATCCGAGAGCGAAGAGGAAAGCGACGAGGAGGAGAGTAGCATCGAGGACAAAATGACGGACGCGGAGCGTAAAAAGGAACGTGCTCGAAACAGGATACAAAATAGGAGAGTAGAGGCAGAGAAAAAGAAATCTCTGGATAACCTTCGTGCGGCTGTCGTCTGCGTTCTAGGGCACGTAGATACTGGAAAGACGAAGATCTTAGACAAACTCAGAAGGACTAACGTCCAGGATGGTGAAGCTGGTGGAATAACGCAACAGATCGGTGCCACCAATGTACCCATTGAAGCTATTCATGAATCTACGAGGCATGTGAAAGGAGTAAGTATTTTCTACCTGACTTTTTGTGTTATTGCCATATCATTATTTTTAAAACAACAATATTGTGACCTTTTTCATAGTTTGCTGACAAAAAGCTGAAGCTTCCCGGTCTCCTGATCATCGATACACCTGGCCACGAGTCCTTTAGCAATCTCAGGAACAGAGGATCCTCCCTCTGTGACATAGCCGTACTCGTGGTAGACATAATGCATGGTCTGGAACCTCAAACTATCGAGAGTATCAATTTATTAAAAGCTAAGAAGTGTCCATTCGTCGTCGCCCTGAATAAGATCGACAGGCTCTACGACTGGCAGACCATGAACCGTAAGGACGTCCAGGACATAGTAAAGAACCAGGCATTAAACACTCAGAGGGAATTCGAGAAACGTGCCAAGGATGTTATCGTACAATTTGCGGAGCAAAGTCTAAATGCTGCGCTGTTCTACGAGAACCCAGATCCTAGGAGTTACGTGTCTCTAGTGCCAACCAGTGCGATCACGGGGGAGGGTATGGGTAACCTCCTCGCCCTGATCGTAGACGCTTGTCAGGGTCCACTGGCCAAGAGACTTATGTACAGCGAGGAACTCCAGGCGACGGTCCTAGAAGTGAAAGCCCTAGCTGGTTTGGGTACAACAATAGACTGTATTCTAGTCAATGGTACCCTGAGAGAAGGTGACACGATGATCGTCGCCGGTACCGATGGTCCCATAGTAACTCAAATTCGCTCCTTGTTAATGCCTCAACCTCTCAAGGAATTACGGGTAAAGGTAGGTGTCTAAACACGTTTAAAACCATAATCAGAAGAAAAAATTCCCACAATATCTCAAATAACCTTGTATGATTTATTCCACAGAATGCTTACATTGAGCATAGAGAAGTAAAGGCAGCCCAGGGTGTGAAGATAGCAGCAAAGGACCTGGAGAAGGCCATCGCGGGACTGAATCTTCTAGTGGCACAGAAGCCTGACGAGGTGGAGTTGCTGAAGGAGGAAATAGCCCGTGAACTTACGAGCACCCTGGGCAATATAAAGCTAACTGAACGCGGTGTCTTTGTACAAGCATCGACTCTGGGTGCCCTGGAGGCTTTACTCGACTTCCTCAGGAGCAGCAAGATTCCGGTGAGTATTTTTTTTGCTCTGTCAATAATATTCTAATGCACTCCTAACATTCTCTTTCTCTCTCTTTATCATAATTTCAAGCGAAATTACTCTAGTGCACGCCATGGCACTCCGCACTATAGAATCGAGGTACTCGCTGCCGAGAGTATGGACATGGAGCGAGCAGCAATGAACCACTTCCTTCTTAACAGTTTAGCAGGATACGGCTCATTGCTCGCACACAGTGCTTGTGGTCGTGATCCACTCTGCTATCAGCCGAGCTGTTCGCCTCTTTGCCACTATTTCTTTTTTCTCTTCCTTCCTCTTATCGTATCATCCTCGCCTCACTGGTTATCCATTGATATTTCAACCCTGAGGATAAGGAACGAAGTATACCCAAGATATATCGTGGCCAGTGAAGTGGCAAGGATATTTTATGCTGCACGATATCTAAAAGTAGTTTATTTCAATGTTGAATTTCTACATGAAAATATCAGTGCTGGAGTATAATTGCGCAGGAGAGAGGAAGAAAGAAAGAGGATTCTAAAATATATCCAGGGCCCTTGCTTAATTGGATGGATGATGAATGAAGGGATGGAGAATTGGCTGATCGGCCGATCACGAAGTATCATTCCAGGATCGTTGCGATTAATAACGGGTTGCCCTATCAAAGCAAGCCGCTCTCTCGTGAACGATCATTCTTATATTGCGAGTCTTCTTTACCTCAATATGTATCTCTTCTAGTTATCTATCCAGTATACTTGGACAGTCGGTGCATATGCCTGGTGGGCCTTCCTCTTCGGAATGCACGTACCTGTATTTCCTCTGCGAGTATTATTTGCCATGGGCTACAGTATTGCTTGTGTAACTTGGATTGGAAGAGGGCAGACGGTATCCGGTAGAATTATAGCCCGGTCCTGACCTGGGATAAGATAGCGACTGAAGCAAGAAGTATCGTAGTGAGTCTAAGAGAAAGGAAATAAGAGGAATGGACAATTGGAGAGTACACAGAGAGTTGTGTTAAGTGAGAGAGAAAAGGAGGGAGAGAGAGAATGAGAGAGTCGTAAAGGGAGAATCTCCTACTATGGTCTTTTTCCCATGCTGCTCGAAGGGGGGACCTTGTTCGACGGAAGAGAGGGCCCGACAATTAGCGGCTCGTTAATGTGATTAATCGTAGCCATAGTGAGCCGACAAAGGGAACATCTTATATATACATACAGCAGATAGGTGTATGCGCAGGGCTATCCAGTTCAAGTGTAACAGGCAGATTTGATGTTTGATCTTTCCGATGAATTTTTTGTATTTCGGAAAAGCGAGATATATTTTTAAATTTATTTGGGTATATTAACAGACATCGTTAAACTATTCAAATATTGTCGATACCTTGATCAATGAAGATTTACAACAGTTAAAAGTTTATTTTGGAATGGGCAAATTTTTCAAAGGGGGGTAGTAGGGTACCCACTCACGATTTTATATTTCACTATGTCTGTCTTTCTTCTACACGCGCAAACGCTCATGAGTCTGTCTCACTCGCACTCGTAGCAGGTATAGAAAATTCATAAAACCTTGATAAAATCAGCCCTTCATTTTCATCAATACTATTTCTACATCGATCACCGGTTTGATTCTCTTATTTCGCTACTCTGCCACGAATATTAAATGAAGAAAAGTTTTGTCACGTCATATTGTGAAATTTGACGACAAACAAAATTAGTCCTGTGCATTCGTAATGCACCGTAAACACGTGCAGACTATATCGCCCGCTATACGTTCAGTTCCTACGATGCTCTTGTACGTTAAATTATCAAAGATTCTCATATCCCCATTTTACTCTCAGCTCTCCTCCGTTCCTCATGCTTTGCCCATGAAGAGAGGTATAAGCGCAGCATCCATTGTCCTAGAAGCGAAAATAAACCGATAGGTCCAGCGCCATCAAATAACCAGAATCCCAAAGAGATCACTCGCTAATGGCAGGGATCAAAAATCGTCTCCAGAGAGAGTCATTTTGTCAGAGACTCTTGCTCAGGAAATCGTTGGGCAAGGTGCATCCGCTCGTTAGTTTGATTTACGAAGAGGCTGCAATCGGCTTGGCGTAACCCTTGGAGACTCAGGTTGTACCCTGTGTAAAGCATTCATGTGTATGCCAGAGTGGCTCGTACGTTACTCTAGGTGGTAGCAGCCTTAGTACGACCCATGGTGAAGATCCTATCTTTATTTATGCCCGATTTCCTGCCGCCGACATCCGCCTGGTTGCTCCTCGTCCCGTTCGCTGCTCCTTTCTCTCTCTTTGCTCCTGGGATTTTTACATCTCTTCTCTCTATCTATCTAACTTATCCGCACCAGTCCTGTTGCCCAGGTGGCCAAGAGGAATCACCCTCCTAAAACCGGCTACTGGTCCACATTCTCAGTCGTCTCTTCTCGGTCCCATTCTTCACGACCTCTGAACCTGACCTCATCCACGGGACGTTCATCCACACAGGACCAGCACTCTTCGGCTCGGGGACTCTGCCACGTATTTCCGTCGACCAGTCATACTGCGTCTCGTCCACGTCGCGCGTAAACACGCCGTCCGTAAAATATTCCGCGAGTAAACATATTTTTCTATCCGTAACATCGCCACGCCTCAGCGTGACTCTTTACCAAGAACCCGTCTAGGAGTCCGATCATGTTTGTCGCTCCTCCAACTGGTCTACGAGCTTAGACTTTACTCTGTCGTGTATTGGGATGCCTACGATTACAGGCTTACCAAGAAGTCCCATTACCACCCCCTATTGAATGGCAAGGTTATTTTAAGGATCTGGGAGGGTTTATCCTCGTACACCCTGGATACGGTATTCTTGTGCTCTATGGGCGCGGGTAAGGCTAGGGGAAAAATCGATGCCGCGCGAAACGGCCTTAAGGCCGTCCTTGCTCAGGTTATGAATGGGCTCCCCCACCGTATCTCGTTCACCGGTATCACGTGACTGCCTGACGTCACTCGGCTCACGCACAGTCTTTTGGAACGCGTGTGCGTCTCTTTCTCTATTATATCTGTCTCTTTCACGTTCTCCACCCCCCCCCTTCCTCTCTCTCTCTCTCTCTCTCTCTCTCTCTCTCTCTCTGTGCAGTTACATATATGCTTTTATAATATACGTTTCCTTCTGCTTAGGGTATATACGAGCTCTCGGCAGCTCACTCGCGCATTATCGGAGCAATATTGTATATGTATAGGCAGTCTCGTGCAGAGCCAATGGCCACTACTCGCTCACATACTCGGACAGTAGCCTCTTAAAAAGCACATATGTACATATGCGACGAACCCCGCACAGGAAACTGCCCACGCCCACGGCACGAAGATGTGGGAGGACGTACGCAAGAACGCAACGGATCGAGACAGACAGAGAGAGAGAGAGAGAGAGAGAGAGAGAGAGAGAGAGAGAGAGAGAGAGAGAGAGAGAGAGAGAGATAATAGAAAAAAACATTGAGAAGAAGATACGATAGTGAATACTATATGTATATTGATAGTACAAGAGAAACCAGTTTTTTTTTTTCATTTTGTTAATAAATAGGTTCATTGATTGAATATAGCATAGAAATTTCGAGCAATGAATAAGCACTGTAGAGCAAACGTGCGTTAGAATATAAGTTGACAATTTTAAGGCAATAGCGGGCAATACGCATTATGGGTATTATAGACATGACTGGTCCGCTCGTAAAACTGGCACCACTCATTTCCGCTCGACTCTGGCTTTGCGTTTGCTACTCTGAGATTAGGTTGGGTATGTCTGTAACATTTAACGACACTCGATATAGAGAGAGAATTAGTCGACAGGCAGATATTCGCGTGTATATGGGATTCTTGAAAAATTTAAATAACGCTCTTATCACTGTTTCGGATTACCTTTTCGTTATTCTTTAACTTTTTACGCGTTAATTGATATCTACGTAGGTGGGGACCTCCTTTAACCACTGAGCACGCGTGGTGCTTGCCCCCCCCCCCCCCCCCCC